GTCGGGTAGTCAATTGACGTTTCGGATGAACATGTCTCCTGAATCTTCATGGTCAAAGAATAAGGCAAGCAAGAAACCAGCGTGAAGCAAGTAGCAAGCAGAGCCCCACAGATCCTACAAGCTAAATGTCGCTGTTTATAAACTTCCGCAGTTTCAAGTTTGCTAGGCTGCATACATATCATGCGCTATCATGTAATCATAATTTCGTAATTTCTAAAAATGATTTATTGGTGTCGTGTGAGATCTACTGAAAAATTACGTGGAATATTTTGTGAGCATCTTCCTTTCCTTTTTAGTCTATTATCTTTGTTTAAAGAATAAAATTAGGCTTATGAGATCACCTTGCTGTCTGTGTCTGTCCACCTATCTGTGTATCGATCTTCGTCCATCTGTCTGTGTATTCCAACCCCTAATTTTTGTTAGGAGTCTTATGAGATCACCTCATTGTCTGTGTGTCTGCTCGTGTGTCCTCGCATTTTTTCCTTTTTCTGCGCAGTTCACGTCGTATCAAAGGAAAGTAGGCGACTGTTTCTCCCAAGAATATCTTTTTTCGAAAAAAATAACGTACTTTAAAAGAGGAGGAAATGTTAACACATCTTATGAGGAGCTTAGAGATGTTCTTGCAGGCTACACAGAACCAACCGGGAGACGTATGTGTCTCGCGTACCGCAGTTTGGACAGCCCTGCTCTATTCGATGGCAAAAGGCTGCTGAAACGCTTAGCTTTTCTTGCTGTCATGACTTCCCTTGCAGCAGCAGAACTGAGCAGGAAGCTACAAATAACCACCTCAATTTATTTCCCCACTTACCACAAAATCTTAAACATTATAATGATAATTATTCCTGCTACGTCCTCTTTATTAGCGAAATTCAAATCAGAAACTCAGCGATGATATGTTTATCAGTTTCATGGCGCCGTCACGTGTTCTCTAAGTCATGCTCTGTCAACTATAATGAAAACTTGCGCTTTCTTATAACGCGGGTTTGCATTACATTGCTCTTTGCGCTCAGTGAACAAATGAACTCGACCGGGCCGTTGCCACACCCTCTCCAACGTCTGCTGAGAGCAAAAGTGAAATATGCATAAAACTCCCGCCTTCCAAGAGAACTTTTAGCTTACTTTCTTTATTTACAAAATCACCTTAATGTTTGTCTGTGTGCTCCTCAGTGTGTGCCAACCTGTCTGTGTATCCTCCTAAATTTTCGTTTTCTATACGGTCCGTGCCGTATCAAAGGAAAGTACTCAATTCTTCCCAGAACTTCTTGTGTACGAGTAATGTAGTGTCCTTTAATTTGCCAGGAAGAATAAAGTTTAAAAGTATCTGTAAATTATTGAAACTAAGAAAGGTGGCTGTTTTAACGTCTTAAGATAGTGGCTTACGAATGTTTCTACCATCTGCTTCAATATCTAAAAGACTGCATTTCCCCCACTACATTTACGTGTTTCGTAGAATTCTCGGGATGTACTTTAATGGATAATATTTTGGAGCCGGCATAGCTCAGTCACTAAAGTGACAGGCTACTGACTTGACAGCCGGGGTTCGATTCCCGGCAGTAAAACATATTTGTTCTCCCAGCCTCCCGTTTAATGGGTACCGGGATATTTTTCCCTTAGGTAAAGCGACCGGAGCGTGAGGCTGACCCTTCACCTTCATCTGTTACCGAAGCCAAGAATTATGGTGATATAACTCCACTCCCTCGTACGTCTTCATGGTGCGATGATTAATTATTTAAACGGACATATTTATCTCCACCTTTTACGTTCATGAATAATTGTTTTAATGATTATATTCGTCTTGCGCTAGAATAGCTGATATCCGGGCGCTGCAGGCTGTCACCGCTCTTATGAATAACTACGTCACTGAAGAGTTTTCGTAATTTGAATCGCTATTCTCCATAACCCGGTCTGGAAAACCGAAATTAACGGCCGTGGGTATTCGTTGCGCTGACCACGCGTCACCCTCTATCCGAAAGAGTTGCAACTAAACTTCGCCGACAAGCGGCGGTCGCTCGGTCGGTATAGTTCGCTTGGGGACTAAAGTCACGGAGTTTTATTTTTTATTTTTCATAAAATAATTGTTACAATTGTGAGTTACCATCCGGAACAATAAAAGAAGAACGAGACGAGAAAATAGGGAGTGCCCAATAAATCTAAAACCCATCACACCACGTGACAATATATTAAAATCTTTCAGATAAACTGCTGCTTTAAGGAACCTGAACAATGTTTCCAGCCTAAATGAATATGCTAGTAGGCTCACAGGCTTAATGGAGCATAGTTTTATTGCATTACATTGCCTTCTCACTTACTTAACTCCAAAAAAATCAGTCAGCTGAAAAGTATTCTGTGTTGTAACGGTGTGTAGTTCGGGAGAGAGACCGACGTTTTGCAAGAATATATCGCTCCACTATTTATGGTTAAATAGTAAACCAAACATGAAACTATCAGAAGCAGGCAGAAAACTGAGTTCGGCATTATTTTCGACCCTTAAAATTGATCCAATATGTTCCTCCGAAACGTCGTGCAGTCTCCGAACTACTTCTTCATAGTCACCACTGTCAAAACTTCAAATCTTATACAAATCAACTTTTCCTTACAGTTTACTGAGTTACAAAATCGTAAGGTATGATACATTGTTCGCTGCTGTCATGTTTTAATCTACCTGAAGCAATTTATTATATTTAGGGGAGGGGGAGGGGCTGCGGCCGTCATGCTCGTTTATCTTCGGTGCCACTCGTGTCACTACGCTCTCTGCTTCACACCTGTCATTTCCTGAAACCGTAACAGGAACCCCCCACCACCCGATTCTGGAAGATCGCTATACAAACCCGTTCCTTTCATATGAATATGCTTTTACGGATCCATAAATTACCTGTATCCCTATGCAGATTGTAAGAATTCTCGAATCTTTCATCACCTGCTATAAATAGCACTATGCCAGCAGAACCCCGCCCTCAATTCGATACGATCCTGAGATAAGCGATACTTATCCCATCTCACAACCTACCTCCATAATAATGTGGTAGCGGAGAGCCGAGTTGCAACATCACTAATAAAGCAAAAAAAAAAAAAAAAGTAAAGCTATCCCTGTAACAGGCCTTGAAGGCCCAGAGGGTTGTGAGACGTTGAGGGTCCCACATTATCTAGATAATCGGCTCAAAGATGGCGGTAAAGTTATCAGCCTTACGCGCCGGCCGCTCTTTACTCCCCAGGAAAATTATTTAATTAATTCCTGGTACTCAATTCTGTTAGAGGCTGAGTGAACTCCAGGGCCATAGTGCGGCCGGAAGGACAGCATCACTAATACCAAAAGAATCCACCCTGCTCACGATTCTGAGCCAGTTCCACCCATTTCCCACCCTCACAATGTATCTTCCTAAGATGTACCTTATTAATTCTCTGGTAGCAAAACCTGGGAGTTGAACACCACTAATAACAATTTCCCACCCATCCTCACAATGTTTATATCCACTTTCCTTCACTGTTATCCAAGCTGACGTCTCCAGTAGGGTTTCCCCATCAAAATTATGCATGTAGGAAGGCCCAGTCCTCGTCCCCACTGCAGCTCATCAAAACCTCCACCTCCACCTCGCGCCTTAATAACGGTACACAACTGCTTTAAACTACCAAGTTCCTCGTTATGTAGTTCACCTGCATCACAGTTCTTAGATCCAAATATTTTCAAATCAGTACAAATATGAAAGGGGGATGCAGTAGCGAAGTTGTTTGAAGCACTATGCTACAAACCAGAAGGTCGCGGGTTCGATACCTGATGAGATCATTTGATTTTTCAATTGAACTAATCCTTCCAGCCGTACTATGGCCCTGGGCTCGACTCAGGTCTCTTAACAAAAATGAGTACCAGGAATCTTCCTGGGGTTAAAGGGCTGCCGGCGCGTAAGGCTGACAACCTGACCTCCATCTGTGAGCTAATTGTCTCACAACCCTATGGGCTGCTCTCACTGTCGCCTGTACATGTATACAGTTTAAGAACAAAATGCACCAGACATCGCGGTTGAGTGATTAACGCCCCAGCCTCGTATTTGAGAAGTCTTGAGGTCAAAGCTGGGACCCTGTCCGGCTATCCTGATTGGGGGTTTTCTTGATTTTAATCAGTCCCCCCAAGCAGATATCAAGATAATAAGTAAGTTCAGGGAAGAACTGTCTAGCAACGATAAGAGGAGACACATATAGCAAGACGATTTGGTAAGCCTCCTCCTGTTCTTTCAGAATAAGGAAAGTAGGCTAAAAGAACAGCCCAAGATCGCTCCTTTCCACATCTAACGCGTTTATCTATTCACTATTAACTGATCATTCTGTGTTATGTATTGTAAATAAAATTACAAAATTTGTAACGATAGTATTATAATACAATTATGTGTTTCTGGACATTATTCATTATCCTGTTTTTATTTAAAACACACAATGTTTCGGAGACTGGATTCTGTCGCCGTCTTCAGATAAAAAGCCTACTTATTTGGGCGCGATCCCTGCCTCCTGACACGAGCGCCAATCCTATCTTGTGTTGGCGCTGGTAACCGGAGACAGAGATTGCGTCCAACTGAGTAGTTCCACCTGAAGACGGAGACAGAAGCCTGTTTCAGGAACGTCATGAGTTTAAAATAAAAACAGGACGACGAATAATTTTATTACAGTTTGTTTAACGACGCTGTTACAGCAACGACTGGTGGATGATCAGGGTTGTAATAGTGAATTTAAAGGGATGTGAAACGAAATCATGGTGACTCAATTTAAGGTAATATCCCGGTATTTGCGTAGAGGTACTGAGGACAACTAAGGAAAAACTCATTCAGGTTACAGGTGTCCCGAATGAAATTCAATTTGGACACCTTCCGAGGCTTTGCCGCTACAGACAACTTGCGCGACATCACTCGGCGATATACGCGTATAATGTGATAAGCTGGAAAAAAGAGTGGCTTACCAAGTCGGGGATAGTGACTGACAGGCTAAGAGTAACAAGGCACTTTTTGTTGTTTCAGGATTCCTGTCATGGAACTCTGACACGTCACATGTGGACCTGGAGAAGGAGTTGGAAGCGCTGACTAGTCAAGCACCAGAGGGGGAAGAGGCTCGAAATGGTAAAGGGTTTTGACATTCTAACCGAAAACTGCAACACGTCTTGGCATAGGTGGTGAGTCGCCGGGTTCAGTTCCAGAGCAAGCCATGTGGGGTCTGTGTTGGGCAAAGTGAGCCTGGGAATAGACTTCCTCGAAGTACTTCGGTTTCCCCCCTTGTCGATCATTATACCTCTAATATGCCATTCTCTCAATTATCATCCGGGGCCGGTAAAATGGGCCCACTTGCGGCCCAAGTACCGAAAGCCTCGGCCTTCCCCAACCACATTCTTGTCCGCCAAAGGTCTCAACAGTCGTGCGACCGTAATGATATCTAAGAACTGACTACAGAGCCACCTGCAGGATAAGTGTTATACTGATTACGGAAACAGCACGTTTTTCTCAAAACTTTGGTATCCAAGTGAACTAAGCAACTTCATTCCAGGAGGAAGTTTTCAGCACAGCCTAATAAGTCTGAATTTGTTTCTAGTAAGCACGGGCAGTCATGACACACAGGCTGGCGCCAACTCCTGCTTTGTCAAGTTACGTTTTTCTTCTTAAATACTGCAAACCTGATGTTAGGCTTTGGGATAAACAGTTAAAGCTGTCCCTGGGCTTAATTAATTAAGCATTACGCCATGAACACCTACGGGGGAGTTGAGGGATAGCTCCAGCATTCTTGATCTCGGAATTAGAGGTGAGTCTTCAGTTTCACGCCTCGGCCGCTTTACCCCCGCCGGGAAAAAACCGCCGGTGTCAATTGGATAGGAGACTGGATAGGCCCCAGAGCCGGCCTGGACGTTGCGGAGTAGAGACAAATTTCTTGCTCCGGCCGTCCAGTCCTTAAGCCTTCGCAATACCGACTGAGCTATCCTGGCTCCTTAGTGTTCTTAAAAATAGTTTTCTAATATTGGCAGGTAATGGGGGGGGGGATTGTACCTATATTGCTTGCACAAATTAGTTTCACCGAATTCTGAAAAATTCCATGAAAATTAATTATTTTTAAACCCCGTTTACGAGGGAGAAATTGTCATTAGTATTGTCACGTGGAGTGTGACTATAGTTGGGGTTTTGGATAACTGGACTTACTGACCACTTAAAGTCGTTAACTACGATTTCCACACTTCACAAATCACAAGAGCACACTTTCAAGTGATCTCAGTTTGTTACTAGAAGTTTCCTGGTAATGGTTCCTCACAATGTGTAGTTCTCTGCTTCCAGGTTCATGTCCTCTCTGAAATGCGGTTCCCTTCCAACTGAATTCTTCTTGTGTCAGAGTCCCATAGAGAACTGACTTGGTTGCCCCCGTTGTCTTCCTCATAACCCCTCGGCACGGACCGAGTATAAACCGCCTTTTCCTACCTCTATTGATGCGCGTCGTTTCGTTGCTGCGGGAACATCTTTGTTTGCGATTGTCACCTAACAACGGTCCTGGTATATCCGTCCAACTCAAGATCGTTGCATAGTAACGCCTGTACACGCTACAGCATTATACACGTATGTGATTCTTTTTTCTCTGTAACTTTCGTCTGAAACCTTTTCCGTTTTTGGTAAATATTTAGTGAGATATACATCAGTTACTCGTCTTTATGCGAAATTTCCGTTGATGTTCTCACAATTTAACCGAAACTTGATTTTTTTTTTACTTTTTTCGTAAATCTTGCCGATAACATCAGAGATGGTCCCTGAAACGTCGGTAATTTTTAACCAGATGACACGGCTGATTGCCGGAGAAGACTTTATCAACTTTCGCCGCCGTGAAAACTTCATGGATTGTAATAATATACACTATACATGAAAACAAAAGACTGATCGCTTGCTCGTTCATGACCCACTACATAACTTACATTCATGCAACTCTCGACAATTCGCTGCTAGAGTACCCGATGCCATGTAATTTCAGAACTCCCATCTCAGACAGACATGTAAATTGCTGCTGGTCCTCGCCAGCATTCATTCTTTGTTCTGAGTCCCCACGACCCTGGGATTCGTGCAGTTCTTATGGTGAGTTTCTATCTCTTCGTTACAAAACGCATTATATTGTCGAGTGCATTAGTGAATATTAGACGGGCTATGGATTGGATGAATTGGATTTATTGACCACTTATACACATAACTTGGAACAACATGTAATTACAGATCTATCGCTGATCTACACACTTCACAGTTCTTCGTTAAGCACACACCAGTGTCCTCAGCCTGCTACACCCTCCACTAGTCGTTTCCTGGTAACGGATTTTAACACAGGACCTGTAAGAATCTCAGTGAATTACAAACTTCAAATATCGTTGTACTATAGCACACAAAGTATTATCTTCATAACCAGACTTTCAAATCCACTGAACTGCACTCAAGAATTCTAATGCCTCAGTTCCTCAAATCAACTCATCTGCTCCCAAGTTCATAACCTGGCACGCTGGCGTCTCGAAACTCAACTGACTTAAACGATCTTCTTTCTCCTTTTCATGACCCCTCGGAATGGACCTCACAGAAAACACTGCTCTCCTGTTGTTGCGTGAATTCATCTCCGCGGAAACGTGCTTAGCCAGTCTCTCCATAGCAACGGCTGAACGCGTCACATCCCGTATCGTGACAATTCCTCTATTGTTGCGTGCGGGCATTACCTAGCAACGGCTGTTTCTCTGGCTCCACAATTCTTGCTTTGAGCAATTACACCACAATATATAGGCCTATATGGTAAGATAAGGGTTATGTTAGTTAATGAAAGGAAGGTTTAAGAGTGTTGTTATCCGCACAGGCGAGAGGCTGATCCAGTATGCCACCGAGAATCTGGTGACGGAAGTTTTGATCCATCCTCAAGTGAACACCCTGCTCCAGTGCGTGCGCAACCTGCTGTCCAGCTTCACCCGACACCGGCATCTCATCCACGCGGGTTACAGCTTCGCCGGCAACGGCTCTTGGATCCTCCAGGTCAGACGAAAGAAGACAACCACTACAGAGTGGCCCAAAAGTCAGTTAATTTAAAATATTCTCTCGTGTCAATGGGAATGTTCAAATTTAAACTTGTCGGTCAATTTCTAGAACAGTATCACAGTGTTCTGAGTCATGCATTGAATACGGAAACATTTCTGTAAATTCAATAAGTAATTAAGAAATTGCTGAAGTATTTTAGTACATATTTTACTAATTAGTTGACTGACATTCGGGCCACCTTGTATTAATTTTAATACACTAACGAATGATTAGATGAGTCACTAAATAGATTGAACTCATTTAGAAAACAGTTGCTCAGCTCGTCAAAGAATCTGTCGCTTTTGAAGTACCTAGAATTTAATTACCGTGTTCATACGCTAATAATCATTATCCTGAGCCAGATGAATCCAGTCCACATCCTCGCGATCATATTTCTGTAAGATCGATGTTATTTTTATCCTCAAGTCTACGCTGCTGTTAAGTAACAAAAGAGTACAGACCATATATCACGTGAATTTAAGCTGGCCCAGAGATTGGGATTATCTCTGCTAAAATGCCCACCGGAATAAAATCTCTTACATTTTCCTATCATCTGCTTAAGGTAACAACTAAACCAGTTTCCGAAACGTAAAAATTTAAGGTGGAAGAAAAGAGAAATACAGACAATGCTCAGAACATCAGTCAGGAAAATCAGTGGCTCTCAGGGGGATGAGTGGGTATTACGATTATGGGAGCGGCCTCCGTAGTCTAGGGGTAACGTTCCCACCTCATGACTCAAGGTACGCGGGTTCAAACGGGGCGGAGGTCGTGGAATTTTTAAGGGCGGAAAAATTCAAGGAACAAGTCCTCCGGGAGGGACTTTAAGCCGTGGGTCCCGTGTCGTAGATTTGCGGCACGTAAAAGATCCTCATGTCTGTAGGAGACCTCTGAGCAAAATTAGGCAAAAACGTTTCCCGCCCAAGTAGTTTCCAATGCCTCCGGTAGATGGGGAAAGTTATCGGGTACCAATGCCAGTAGAGGGCCGACCTCGCTGGCAGAAAGGGGAGAGTTATCGGGTACCCCTGCCAGTAGAGGGCCGACCTCGCTGGCAGAAAGGGGAGATAGCGGGCACCAATATCGATAGGGTATGGAGACAGTAGAAATTAAAGTAGGATGTACAATAGAGTATTAGTATCCATTCGGATAGGTCCCAGAGCCGGTCTAGACGACGTGGAGTAGTGAAAATTCTTGATCCTACCAGAACTGGAATTCCGACCCCTCGGTCGTCCATCCCGTAGCCAGTCGCTATACAGACTGCGCTATTCCGGCTCTTAGAGTATGCCCTGCAATATACAGAATGCCCCAGGAGAAGAGGTCAATATTCTGGGATGTCATAGTATCGGTGGAATTTTCAAAAATGTGTTATACTACGTAAACTGTAGCAAGTTTGTCATTTGAACAATAAATACCATCACTAGAAACAGTACGTAATATCTCTTTCTTATCAACAATTTTGGAACTATACAGTGAAACAGCCCTATCTCGGAAACATACACATATACATATTTTTGCTTAATATGGCCGATAATATGACCTCCCAGATTATTGACCTTTCATCCTTGGACACCCTGTATATGCATATAATGTATATAATAAAAGAGTACACTGCAAATAAGATATACGGTCATTTTGTTTTCAGTTACGTAAGAAAACACAGAGAGAGGGGACCCATCCACCGAGAGCTGAGGCAGGGTCCGGTCTTATGCTCAAAGAGTGGCAAGGGGCACGGAATTTCCTGCGCTATTTAATTTGGGAGAAAGGGAGGGGCGCACGTATGGCTGAATTCGCGTAAATTGAATGCACGCATGGCGGGACCCTTCTTCACCCTGGTCCGTGCAACACAAGCCCGGGGTTAGCAAAGGTTCCGGATGATCACAGAAGAGAGCGCATAAGAGACCGTAACTAGGTGACAGTGGAGGTGAAAAGTGACTGGTATGAGACGAAAGAAATAAAGCAGGACAGAAAGAACATGGGCAACAGACGTTGAACGCGAATAGAACTAAAATGGATAGGGAATATAAGTTAAATAAATTCATATGAAAACTTGTTACTTTATCGTGTTCTCTCACCTACATCGCTATGAAAAGAAATCAATCCTTGTAACAGGCCGTGGAGGCCCATAGAGTTGTGAGACGTCAAAGCTCCCATATTTTCTACACAGTTGGCTCACAGATGGCGGTGAGGTTGTCAGACTAAGTCGCTGGCCGCCCGCAGATTCCTGATACTCATTTCTGTTAGAGACTGAGTCGTCCCCAGAGCCATAGTGCGGCTGGAAGGATTATGTCAATCGAAAAATACAATGAACTCGACAGGAATCGAACCAGCGAACTTGCGACTTGTAGCATAGTGACTCAACGCTGCCGCTAAAATAATCTAAAAAAAAATGAATATGAATTAATTCCGTTCTACTTTTGCCCATTTTATTTCCGGTTTCTTCTTTGATTTTCTATTCGAGCCCCAAAGCATAGGTGATATCTTCCGTTCAGAATCTGATGGAATTCTATTAATCTGAATAACGTTAACAACCCTTAAGAGTGTACTCTTTAACATGAATTTTTTCATTGTTTCTTTTAGTCCCTTCTGGCGAACAGCGTGATAGTACCTTGAAACAGGCCACACCCGTTTCCTATCACATCCTCCTCAATTCATCATTCATTAATCATCCTAACATTCGAAGCTATATATTCTGAGGTAATGTAATTGTCCCTGAATGAGCCATGAATAAATATGACATAAATCGATACACGAGACAATGTATGTTCATAATGCAAATGCTGAGTAGTGATTCCAATAGACCCTGCTGTTTACATTGCTGATTACAGAGAGTACAGCCTGAACATATTGGACACAACGAGTGACACGTAACCAGATATACAGAGTGATTCTAAATTATTGTCGGAGTTCCCGTTTATATGCCACGAAAACGCAGACTCTGTGTATGGTAGTCCACGGGGTATAACCAGCCAAAACTGATAAATACGAACATAATCTGTAAGACATGAGCTTCTCGCAGTGGTGGTTACCAAGAGTTTCCTCTGAGCTACAACGCCGTGTATTCCGTTAAAAGTCGACGTTTCAGACGAACATGTGGCCTGCCTCTTCAAGATCGGATAAGTCAAGAAATTAACCAGCGTGAGAGAGCTGCTTTCTGCCTTAGTCTTTGCTTGGCTCTTTCTTCGACCCTGAAGATGGAAGCAATATGATCTTCGGAAACATCTGTTGAGTTTCAACGGACTACATGACATATAACAGAAGACACAATTCTTCAGGAACATGATTTTTCTACGAGTACGCTTAGTTAATATGAGTCAGATAAATTTGGTTTTGAGATCTTCACAGGGTTAACTATGAAAAGACGTTGTGTCGTCTGGTAATTCACCGACATTTCGAAGGAGCTTACTGCTTCCATCTTCAGAGTCGAAGAATAAGCTATACAAGGAAGAAGCGATTACCTGTGTTTCCTTCTTGGTTGCGTGACTTACTTTTCTACCCCTTTCAAGTGTCGGAACTTCTACAAAACTACACGGTGTCACATCCCAGAATACAGTACTCTTCGTGGTTTACATAGGTCATTCCCTGTAAGATTCTGATTCCCATTCTTTGCTTTATTTCAGTTATCTCAAATCTATGAGAATATGGGGAGTTGGCTTTGCAACGAAAACACAAAAACCTTTTTCGTTTTTATTTATATGTTCGGTTCTGTGTATGAAGGGTTTAAGTACGAAATTATTACGGATGGCTTAAGTTGACTGCAAACCTTCATAGCAACGTCTGATCTAAGGCTCCTATGCCGTGATTTCATTGATCGTCCATTGTACGAAGATTTTTAACCTAAGCACACACAATTCAAAGGGAGAAATATATTTATACACCTTTTACATTAACAAAAAACCGGCACCATTTCACTTATATCCTTCTTAACGACCATTGAAGTTATATAAAATCCTTTCAAGGAGTTTTTTTCGTCCTTCATCTTGTTGCTAGGCGACCACAACCGATTTTACAGTGCAAAATTGATTTATGTCCACCGCAGTTTCCTTGCATAACAGTCCTTTAATACGTATCCGTATAAATAACACATACGCAACTCTGTTTCACTGCTCGGCTGCGGTATAATGCATCAGCAGATTACAGTGAGATTTCACAACGGTCAATTGTAATATATTAATTAAATAAGCAATGTATTTATTCCAGTACACTTTATCTTACGGAAAACATTTTCCTGGTTGATACTAAAACACAGGACCCGAGATGGCTCAGTCGGTATAGCGACGGATAACTGGCTGGACGGCCGGGGTTCGATTCCTGACAGTAGCAAAATATTTTTTACTTCCACAGCGTCCAGACCGGCTCTGAGGCCCATCCAGTCTCGTATCCAAAGGGCACCGAAGTCTCTTTCCTTGGAGATAAGGCGGTCGGGGCGTGAATTTGACCACTCACCTCCATCTGGTGCCAAGATCAAGAATGGAGCAAGCTATACCTGCACTCCACCATATGTCCTAATGGCATAGGGCTTAAGTAATCAAACACAGGGACAATTTTACCTACAAAATGAAAAAAAAATGTTATAAAGTTTTTGTTACTCAAGTTATTTCATTCTCTCTTGCGTACATTGTGGCTATATGGTATGTAACTTTAATGTCGAGAGGGTATCACAGTGGTAACCGTGAACAGTACAATCTTTTGGATTGTAATGCCGTGTGGTTCGGATCGAGCCCGAAAATTCGGAGGAACATATTTTTGGGTGACAAAAATACGTTTCTCCAAAACTACGCGGCGTTACAACCCATAAGACGGACGGACACCGCCGTGATATCCACAGCTCCAATCCTTCTGTATTTGCGCAGGATGGTACGTTCTCCTTGGTCGACTTCATTGACGCGTTCGTGGAGACGGAGGTACAGCGTGTGCTGCGGGCTTATGAGAACTGTATCACTGTGGACGTTCACTGCTCAGCGGAAGGGGACTGGACTACGGAGCGAATTGCGAAGGAGCCCTTCGCCCGCTCCTGTAAGGTGCGGGTCAATCCTGACGACCACCTCACTGCAGGAGGAACGCCGATAGGTAACTGCAGTGAATTGCTTCTCCTTTGTTTCTCTCAGCTGAAGCTCGGTCAGAGTCAAATCTTCAGGGTTTATCAAACGTTTCGGCAAATCTTGCAGCGGACATCTTCAGAGTTAATGCCTTTAGGGTGGCGGGATAGTGCAGTCGGTATAACGACTGGTTACGGGATGGGCGGCAGAGGGATCGGAGTTCGAGTATCTGTAAGAACGATATTTTTGTTTTCTCAACGTCGTCCAGACAGATTCTGGGGTCCACCCAGCCTCCTGTCAAACTGGTACCAGGGGTAAGGCGATCGGAGCGTTAAGATAACCACTCACATCAATTTAGTTCTGAGGTCAAGAATATTTGGTTCCACATCCACCCACTCCCCCATACGCCTTGATGGCGTGATGCTTAATTAGTTAATCACATGGACAACTGTAACTTGTTTTACCTATATATAGCTCTAGTTCTATCCAAATGAGGCCATTGAATTTTTCTAATTGACCTAATCCTTCCATCCGCACTATGGCTCTCGGGCCGACTTAGCCTCTAACAGAAATGAGTACCAGGAATCTTCCTGGCGGGTTAAAGAGCGGCCGGCGCGTAAAGCTGACAACCTCACTGCCATGTGTGAACCGATTGTCTACAAAATATGGGAGCCTCGACGTCTCACAACCCTATGGGCCCCCACGGCCTGTTACAAGGGTCGCTTTACATTTTTTAACATATTGCCCTTGCATTAGACTCGGCTTTATCTCCGACACACTACTTAATATTGGAGCTATATGATAGCTGCCAAAAGCCCTAAAGATGGCAACAGGAAAGTTTGCCGAAACTTTGAAAATTTCAACCTATTCCCGAAAGCTGAAACCACAAAACTGCAAGGAAGTTTAAGAAATTGTGACATCAGCTATGAACTGGTGGGCCGGGGTTCGAATCTCGGCAAAAGCGAGATATTTCTCTTTTTCACAACGCCTAAACCGGCACTGGGGCTTACACACCCTGCTGTCCAGTTGGTTCTTTCCCCAGGGGTAAAGCGGTAGGGGCATGAATCTGACCACTCATCTCCTTCTAGTGCCGAGGCCAAGAATGGTGGAGTTGTTCTTCCACTTCCTCACATTTTCATGGCGTGATGCTTAATTAATTATAAATAAGAATAATTTTACTCTTATGTTTTGTATGCACGTGTAAGAATCGTCTCTCTCGTCGAAGACTAACGCCATGTCATGGGCTGAAGTTCTGAGCGCCCCAATGTACCGGAGAGTTATGCCGGCGGGAGCGTAAACTCCTGGTAGAGCTACACATGTCGGACAGGTGAAAGGGGTTAGGGGGCAGGGGAAGCGTTGGGTGTTGGGCTAACGAGCCAGCCCCGGTAAATATCATTGCTACGAACCCATATGGGAGGCTAAGACACACACAGGGTTGTAGCGCCAGTACAGAAGAAGATGAATCGTGTACTCCATGAACTTCCACGTTTCTGATTACATTATCAATTTTTAGTTTCCACTTTTAACAAAAGAATGCAACACAAGCGCGAGAAGAAATAACAGATAAATAAACATAACATGTTCATGTCGAACCATGCATCTTTGTTCGAGAAGCTGATCGGTCAGGCCTGGACTATAAAGGCTCCCACACACAGACGCGATACGATTCGGGACGATATAGCACTCGGGACGAGAGCGGCTGTTTACCGAGTGGACCGCGCACACAGCCGCGACACTCGGGAACTCGGGAATCTTTGACACCCGATAACCAGCTGGCCATGACTCACACTCAATCAGTATCTATACGTAAGTGAAAAGACATGGGTAACCAAATGGAACAAATAACAGAGTTCGTCAAAGAAAATGCTTTATTGTACGATACTCATCGTCCGATGTACAAGGATTCACGTGCTAAGGATAGAAAGTGGAAGGAATTGGCTGTTAACAATGAACAGAGACAGCAAGTAGAAAAATCTGTATATATTTATATAGGGTTAAGTATACAGTAACTGTGGGCATTCTTAGTGTAGGCTATGCACCAATTCCGTTCACTAACATGAATTCCAGGGGCAGTCATCTAGTTGAAGTACGCAACAACCCGCTCTCTAATGGCGTAGCTAACGTTTGCCGCCCTTGGGAGACGTAAAGGCTGGATAGGGAACATTTCTCCTTCCAGTGGCTCCACTCGTAGCAGTTCTTCCCTGTACTTTTCATCACGGGTTTTGAGACGTAGAAAATTATGAAGCAAACACGCTGCTGATACAGTGTGTTTTATATTTCCTCCTTTCAGTTCTATGGGTCTCAAAAAAAAAATCCTCCACTTAATGGCAAGAATAGGCCTCCGGCAATTGGTGTATTGTTTAGTGATACCTTCTTGCCCGATGGCTCTCAGGATTTCATCAAACCTGTCAATTTTCATCCTGAAATATATGTAGAACCGTTTTTCGTCCTTCAGGAGTTGAGGTATCAATGTATAAAACTCCCCTAGTTCCTCTCTTGACAAGTTTATATCATGAACCCAAGTGATTCGTCTCTTTCGCCTAAATACGAACACACATAGCAACCACTTATACATACTTAATTAGAGACTCGTTATGGAATTGTAAATATTTGTACATATATATGGCATACTGAATATGTGGAGGAAAAGAACTACGCAGATTTAGTGTTCAGTAAAATACTTGCCGGGATTCACCTTCGTCTTCATCAAGAGCGACAGCTAAAAGCAAAACTTCTTCCTCCAAAGACGGATCCATGACTATTTACCGCTGCGATACCGAGCGGTCTACCGAGCGCGCTCGGTAGACCGAAATACCGAGGCGATATACCGACTGCGATAATATCGCGTTCCTCGGAGTACCGCGCCAGTGTGCGGACCTCCATTTACCGCAATGTAATTAGATATCGTCCCGTACCGTACCGAGCTGAGTATCGCGTCTGTGTGTGCGAGCCTTAATGGTACAGGAGTTCTATTCCCGGCAGAGTAAAAAATGTTTCTGTTCTCCACAGCGTCCAGGCCGGTTCTAGGGCCTGTCCAGCCTGCTTTCCAATGGGTACAGGAGTTATTTACTCTGAAACTCAGTCCCTAACATCATCTATTATTATTATTATTATTAAATATTTATATGATTCATTTCTCACTTCTTAATAACACTTAGATTTATGTTATGAAATTATTATTATTGCTATTATTATCACCATTTGTTTGTTTGTTTACTTTTCTACATTATTGTGTTTTCCCCAGTGCTTGCCTGTAATTTGTCTTTGACTTTATAATGTGTTCGTCTATAATGTAATTACTTTTATCTGCACTGTGCTCTGTCTGTAATTGGCCTTGCGGCTGTTGACTCGGCACATAAATAATAAAGAATTGAACTGAATTATTATTATTAAGCCCGCCGAAATTCCAACTCGAGCTTTTTTGAACAAATTTTCTGAAAAACACCTAACGTCACTGACTTCAAAAATTCTGGAAACACGACTGTGTTTATGCCAGTATAATAAACTTGAAAGAATAACAATATTACATAAACGCTGCTGCTATCTGGGGTATTCTTTTTTGTACGGCTGATCACCCGAGAAATCTTCACTACAAAGGTGAACACACTAATACCAACTCAAACATAACTTCCAATGTTACCATCTTCTAAGGCATGAACTGCCTTCGCTTGCCCGAACGCTGGGATCATGGGTTCGAATCCCACTCAAGGAATAGTAGACTGTGTGCATTTATTCTGTTTTTGTGTTGTTGTGTGTGTAGATAGAGGCCTTGCGACGGGCTGATCTCCTGTGCAAGGTGTCCTACCCACTGTGTATAGGATCAAGAAACTGAAAAATTGGTCAAGACCCAGCAAAAGAACTGTACAGCCATGATAATAATGCCAGACCGTATACCACTATTCTCATAATCAACTGAGCTGATAAACTGTTCACGAATTCCTACGAAGTTGCTGACATATTTCTTTGCTTGCTCTTACCAGGCAACTTCATCACCTACGTCAGCCCATTCCTGCGACCAGCATCATTGGAGCAATTACTAGAGCCCTCAGATGTGGTTGGAAACATCCGGTTTAGTCATCCAACATTGTATGTGTTCCCTGGTGGCCAAGGAGATGCTGCACTATTTGGCATAAATGGCTTCAACATGTTGGTGGATGGTGGTTTTGCTCGCAAAGCGTGCTTCTGGGATTTTGCTCGCCATTTGGACCGACTTGACGCCGTCCTCATGACAAGACTCAATAACGGAAATGTAAACGGAATGTCCGCTGTTCTTAGAAGGAAGAAGCAGAATTCTGTGTATCCGCAGATAGGACACTTCTTTTGCAACCTACAAGTGAGTGCTTTTCTTAAAAGAAAACTAAACTCAATGGTCTTAGTCCGCAAGCGAACTATACCGACCGAGTGACCGCCGCTTGTCAGTGAAGTTAGTGCCAACTTTAGCAGATAGAGGGTGTCGCGTGGTCAGCGCAACGGATCCCCACGGCCGTTTATCTCGGTTTTCTAGACCGGAACAGCTATTTCCTTGAAATAGCTCTTCAGTTATCCTTATGAGGCTGAGTTGACGCCGTTCTAGACCCACTACTTCTCAGAAAATCTGATAGCTCCGGGAATTGAACCCGGATCTCTGGATCTGTTGCCAGGAACTCTGACAACTGGACCAGAGGGGCGGTCCTGAGTGCTTCTCTTTTTCGAAGATAAATTTAATGCCAGTGAACTATAGGTTTTGAAAGCATTAACGGATTTAATTAACCATTTGCGTGCCACGAGCCGATCGCGTTGAAACTTCCTTAGCCGAACAGATTGTTTTGATGTTAATCGCTTAGTACACCATTTCCGTCAATAGATGGTACATTGAAAGGAGGAGGAAAAAACAGTACCCTGCTATGTACACCTAAGATAGTCTGAAGAAGTCTTGTGGAGAATACTGTCTTCTGTGTTGCAATGCTACCAATTTTTAGAGGGCACGACGTTTCGGGGTAACATCGCCTTCACCTTGAGACTCGAAGAGTAAACCAAAGTAGAAACCAACAGAAGCGAACAGTAAGCTAAGCGCCTGTTCATGCAGTTTTCTTGCTTCGCTTACTGTTAGACCCTGCCAAAAGAGGCGATATGTTGCACCAAAACATCAGGCTGTCTCTGAACTACACGGCGTTACAACCCAGAAGACTGTACTCTTCATAGCAACTGCAGTGAGAACCACAAATCCAACAAGTATGGCTGGTTTCTTTGTGAAACTTCATCCACCCCTTCCCATCAACCTAAGGCTGGTCCTAGGTCCTACTCTTTGGTGCAGCATGTTCGACCCTTACAAATGGGGAAGAAAGTAACGTATCGGTCTTCGAAAGGCTTTCGGGACAATTTATGGGCCAAAAACTAAAAAGTCAATGGAGAAAATGACACAGCAGTGAATTGCATAAATGATACAATGATTGTGGTATAAAAATTAAGGATCTACAGCTGAGCTGTGAAAGATGTCTAGACGGAATAGATGATGAAACCCACAAAAATATTAACCTTTCATAAGACGGAATGGAGAGGAGGACACAGAAGACCAGCACTCAGCTTGATAGTATAGGCGGGACTTCTAAAGCCCCAATAATGGCACTTATTAAGGTGATGGGTGGGTCCTATATATCACAAACTACTTGTCTTCATCAAATTTGGAAGGTTTACGAACATAAGCCGTTATTAATCTTTACCCATTTTCTCAAACTGCTGACAGAATGATTTAACACACTTCCAGTCATCAAACATGTGGAAAATCCTGCTCTAGAGGTCAGGTCAAATGGAAATGCAACCTCACAACCTGATAACAATAGAAGCGTTTTCTCTTTCTATTTCAAAAGAACACACGAGGGAAAGCACAGCTTTCAGTCCTGTAGTTGAGCAGTGATTCAACCCAATTTTCATAACTGGTGCATATACAGTTAAGGGGTACTGTGGTGTGTACGCTACACAATGCATTCAGCTAGTTCCAAGCAGAATATCTGAAGTTTTATTACTGGAGAAAATATTTTCTTAATTCCTCCTCTTTTAGTTGTCTGATGCACCACTAAGGGCCAGATAAATGCATCTGTCATTATGCACAGACATGCTTGTTACCCTCACCCATGTTTGCACACAGTGACTCACTTAAATTTCATTTCCTTTTAAAACTTACTGTGGAATTCAGTGAAATTCTTAAAGACATGCAAATAGTTCAGAGTATTTATATAAATTTCCATCTTACATCTCTGTCAGACCGTTATATTTGATCCAAATAGAAGCATATACCACATACACAACACATGGCCCATCATATCTTCTAGGACATAACACTGTGTCGACAGTTGACTTTCAACAGACTACATGGTGTTACCCCACAAAAGATAGAACTCTTCATAATCACCACTGTGAGAACCTCAAATCCTGCATGGTCTGGTAGAAGTTTTACAGACTTTTGTGAGAAACTCTTCTTAGCTATTGCCTGATGTACTCGTTGACTTCAGAGATGGTGGCAGTATGTTCCTCCCATAGGTGTGCAAATTTCTACTAGACTGAATGGAATCACATCCTAGAGATAGTACTTTACTTTAAATTTCCTACTACCACTTGGTTCTGCAAATTGCAGTCACCTCCTTCTGTCACCTAGAGTATACGTTTCATGTAGGCTTAAACATTTTCTTCCTATTGTTTTATGAAGTGACATTCTTTGTACCTGCTTTTGAACCTTCCATCCTATGAATTATATTAATTCGTTCTTATTCTAAGCCAATTCTTTACAACTGTATCCAATGTATGCAGACAAGAACATACCTTTCAGAGAATCTATGCACAGTACATTCTCATAGTACATCTAACACAAAACGTTTTAGATAATAAGAAATATAATATGATTTGACAGGAATTATGCAATTCCAATAATTTTTCTGACAACTCAATTTCAAACATTCATATCCCTCCCTGTCACACAATTCAAATAACAAATCAATGTATTCTGGAAGTTATCGTGAATGAGAGAATTTTGCAAATGCCATCATTAGTGTTTTGCGTTCTATGGTCTGTCTGGCAATAAGAACAGACTAATCAGTATTCTTACATTAAAATAATTTTCATTTTGTTTCTAAACAAGCATCTCTAATCACATTGTCAGTCTGACGCCGCAAATCTCTCTCTTGGGTGAAGAAATATAGTAACTCCAGTATGTAACTTACTTATATAATCCATTGCACGTATATCATGCCCGCCATAGGAACTCATAACCTCGAAATTTCTGTGGATTCAGCAGTCCAACACAGGAACAAACATGCAGTGTCTGCTTTCAGTCTATAATCACATAAATTCAAACGGTTTATCTTTTTGCTTCTAAGCACTTTTTCAGTTGAATTCTTCACAAAACAATATTATCCACCGTACATCACAACACACATCACACGGCGAAGGTGACAGAAATAAAACTACAGATTAGTCATAAGCTCATATCGATAGCAGAATTTAATTATCGAATGAATTTTTCAGTAGGATTAATTCGAATTCTTGGCGCTTTCACGGTGTAAATCTGAACAGTTTCTCTGCTAGATTCGCGATGTCTTCCGGTTTTGGAAAAAACACGAGAACCACAGAACGGATTTTCATGAAATTTGACATTGCGAGTTTTATTGAAATTTACTGACACATTCCAGTTTGCATTAAAATCCGATATAAATGAGGAACAATTTGCGTTAAGGCCTATACGCTCTTGGCGTGCATCTTGAAAGTAATTCGCATGTAAATCGCTAATTATGCCTCTTTTTTTAGAGAAAAATATTTCAAATGATAGTTGTACAGAAAATTTAAACACATGATGTATTTCCAAAACAACATTCCGTAAGGCTTGCGGCTTTTTATCATAAGTATAAAAAGATGAAGAGAACTGCTAAGGAAGGCTGCATTTCCTAACTTGTTAGTATTCGAACGACGGATTCCAGCAGTTATAATGAAATGAAAGAAAAATAGTTAAGAGTGAATGGTTCATTTTAGTATGAAATCTGTGTTTGAATTGTTTATATATTTATTGCATGATACGACACGTGTGAGCACGGGCACCCACAAGAAGGGAGCAAAGCAGGTTTCTGCCGCCTACCCGGACTTTTGAGAACAAATACGAAAATGGAAGAGAATGACGTCTATTAAACATTAATCCCAAAATTAATAGTATTTAAAAAAAAATCTCTTTTAACTTACAGAATACCGCATGTCTTTGCATGAAATAACTACAATACAGCCCAGCGGGAAGTTAAGCAGAAACTTTGATTTAATAAGGACACAATTCGAAACTGGCATAAAACACATAGCAAATTGCAGTCGATTTTTAAACTGCCATTTTTTTTAAGATTGTGAACTGGTGCTACAGGTGCTAATATATCGTAGCAAAGTGTGCAACGTTTATTGACTTTTTTCTGTAGAAAATGAAGTAACATGGCCGTCGTGCTAAAACTTTCGTTTACTCCTTTTTTTTTGGTAGCAATGATGAATGGGCTATACGTGCTAGAGATACGAAATTTTGGAGATATATTGTAAACATTCCTACATATTACACACTAAGAAGGTTGAGAGGGGCAGGGCATGTAGCACGCATGGGGAAAGAGGAATGCGTACAGGGTTCTGGTGAGAAAATCAGAAGGAAAGAGGCCACTAGGTAGACCTAGACATACGTTGGAGGATGTCATTAAAATTTATCTCAGAGAAATATGATGGTGTCGAATGAGCTGAATTAATCTTACTCATGACAGTGGCCAGCGGTGGGCCCTTGTGAACACGATAATGAACGTATGGGTTGTGTATAATGTTGGGAAATTCTTGAGTAGCTGAGCAACTGGTGGCTTCTCAAGAAGGACTCAGCTCCATATATTTCGTCAGTAGTTACATATTACATATAAAATAATCTGAAACTATTTAAAAAATGTTTGAGGTTACTCGTATATGACCTTTCATGTAGGCAGTTTCTATCAAACATATTAATAATAAACATAATAATATACTGACAATATGACAGTCTTCAGTATACAGCATTTAAAATTTCAAGGAAAAATAGTTCTGACTTCTGCTGGTTTTGATCCTATGACCAACTGTGCCTAAGCACAGCATAGTACTTGATTTAATTGAATTTGGTTGCTATGTTATAAACTTCCTAAATGAACAGTTAGGTACATGAGATTTGTATAGCTGGAAATGTATGCAACAGCAAAGTAGACTTCATGATTTCTACCTGGAATTCCTTAAATACTGGAAGTAACGTTCATGTCCTGTGTAGCAGGTCACCAGTTGCTTTCCATTTTTCCACTCAGTTTGACCAGGTACTACGAGTACATGTTAGTTGAAAATCTGATAAAGGGAATTAATTATTTATTGAGTGGGTGGGTGAATGAGTGAGCGAGTTGCTTCTGTGTGAGTTATTAAAAGTTACTTCTGTACTCTTGAAGTCATTCTTACAAATTCTGGATTAGGTTAGAAACTACATAGTACTTGTAAAACACAGGTCAGTGTTCTAAATATACAGCAGATATTTTACTTTCATTGCCACTATTGTATTATTCTCTTACAGTCCTAAGTAGAATCCTTCTTGAGAAGCCAATAGTTCCTCAGGTTGGCAAGAAATTCCTCATCTGTTTTGGAAACCAAAGGTTCATTACCATGTTCACAAGATTCTACTACTGATCCCTGCCTGAGCTGCACAAATTCAGTCCACCCTTCCCCCCATTTCTTTAATATCCATTTTCATAATATTCTGTTATCTATATCCACATCATCAAAGAGGTGTCTTTCCTTCAGGATTTCCAAACAAAATTTTGAGTGCATACATGCAATAACCCTCTCATCCTCTTGATCTGATTTACCTAATAATATTTGGCAAAGGGTACAAATTATGAAACTTCTCATTATGAAAGTTTCTTCAGCCTACTCTTACTTCCCCCTTCCCTCCTAAGGCCAGCTGTCCTCCTCAGTACCAAATTCTGAAATACCTTTCTTTCATATTCTTCCCATAACGTAAGAGACCACGTTTCACATCAGTACCAAACTGCAGGTAAAATTATAATGAATTATATTTAAATATTCACATTTTTAGATAGCAGGCAGGAAACAGAAGATTCTGGACTGAATTACCATGCTTCAGTCTTAGAAATATCATTTGATTCTTCTATGTAGTGAAGTTTCTTACTTGTATGTATAACAGTGATTGTGCTATTTAATTACTTATTTATAATTCAAGGTTTCAAATGTGCTCATTTCTGCATATGAGATATTATAGTTATGTTATTTAGAATTTAACTTTTGCAATAAAATATGATAGTCAGCTGCTGTACGAGTATACTATAACATACTTACTCTTGTGTTGTGTCTGGACAGGAGAGACGCCATGCTACATCTCCAGATGGTGACAAGGATCGAGATGCATTACTCGTGGATCTAATGGATGAGGGTCAGGAGATTGTGCTCAACTTGCGGCATCTGCAGCTGCGCCCACACCCGTGTTATCGTGATGGAAACCATGTTGAACCAGTCAACCTCTACCATAAAGTGGGCCACGGCAAACTGGATATGTATATCATTAGCCCTGCAAAGGATAGCCGTGATGTGAAGGAATTTCTGTCTAAATGGAATTCCAATGACACCCGGCTTTTTGTTGGAAGGAAGGATAGCGCAAGCAGAGACTTCCATTTTCCTTTGCAGAATCTTGTGTCTATCTGTGCTCTTTTGGTGTGGCAGCCAGCAAATCCTAATGATACCATCACACGAATTCTCTTTCCAGGAAGCACACCTCAGCATAAAATATTTGAAGGCTTGGACAAATTGAAACATCTAGAATTCTTAAAACATCCAGTGTGCACAGCCAAGTCAGCTTCACCGTCCGCTTCAACTGTAGGTATCACAAGTCGTGCAAGTAGTAAGCAGAGGTCCGCCCCCGCTGTCATTGACAAGCTATTGCCTGGAGAAGGTGTCAAGACAGCATCTAAGACCATTCTATCCACTATGGAAACAAACAAAGAAGCAGTTAAAACAGCAACCATACCAGTAGCTGGGCACATTCCAGATGCAAAGCAAATTAAGCCTGCAGCCACCGCCGCCCCCATTTCCGCCCCAGTGCCACAGCCTTCCAAGGCACTGCCCCAGACCAAACAAAAAATTGACAAACTGACTTCCAAAACAGAGCCACCAAAAATGAAGACTGAACTTAATAAATCTCTAGACATAGAGAAAATCAGTGCCAAAACTGAAAAGGCAACGAAAATGATTATAACTGAGACAACCAAATCTAAAACTGAATCTAGACCAAAACCTGAACTCAGAGCTTCCATCAGTAAGTCAAAGACTGACCCTAAACTCCCGAGATCAACAGAAAGGAAGAACCATAAGCCTCCCACGGAAAAGAAGAGTGAGTCAGCCAAATCATCGCCCACAACACCCAAGAAATCTGTTGAAGGAAAAATGAATGGTGTTGCATCTAAAGCTGAAACGGCAAAATTCACAAGACCATTAAGTAGGAGTCGACCTTCCCCGACAGCAACCCCAGCTAAGAGTACAAAGGAAGCTAACAACCGAAAAGTAGTAGAATCAAAGCACGCCTCAAGAATGTCATCAACATCTCGAGGTCCTACTATGAAGGTAAAAAGAGAGCAGCAAGAAATCACAGCTTCAACAAAGACTGAAAGAAAGCCAATCAGTAGAAGGCCAAAGCCAGGATCTCCCAGTAAAGCAGCCACTTCAGGCAAATCCCCAGGGTCCCCAGCCAAGTCTTCCTCTGCAAAGAGTACACCAACACCCTCAGTAAAATCTGACAAAGATGGTGTCATCCGTAAAGTCAAAGGAGAAGCAGATAGGATAACAACTGATTCTTCTGCTGTCTCAACACCTTCAACAGTAGATCCAGAAACAGCAGCCTTGAAAGTGAAAGCTGCAGAAGTTCCTGAAGTAACATCAACAATATCAGAAACCGATAAATTAAGAAAAGATGAAGAGGAAAATATTCATATTGATAAGGAGAATGAAGAAAGCCTAGTGAAGCCTGAACAAGGAAAGTCTGAGGAAATATATGACAATGTACAGATGGCTGCTGATGAAGCCGGAGTGGATGAAATACAAATTCAAGATGCAGCTTTTAGTATTGAAGCCCAACAAGAAAAATGTATATTACCTCAAGATGAAAAACATGAAGAAGAAAGTCCAGTGGTTGAGGCAGAAAGAGAACAAGAAGGAATGGAACAAGATGAAGAAACAGAAGACAAGGAATCAGAAACTGCTGAAGAAGTACAACGAGCGAAGCAAACAGAAATTGAAAAGGATGACATTGAAGCTACAGAGGAAGAAAATACAGAAGACGTAGAAGACGAGGAAGAAGCTGAAGAAAAACAACATATTGAGGGAAGAAAATCTCTTGCAGATGAGCTGGAGTTTGAAGCCAAAGAACATAAAGAAATTAAGGTGGAAGAAGACGAGGAGGAAGAAGAAGATGAATACTTGATCATAGAAAAGGAGGAAGTTGAACAATTCATGGAAGATTCATTACAAGATCAAGAAAGTGTTGAATCACATGTCCCTGAAGAACTTGAAGCTATGGAAAGACGAGATGAAGAAGGGGAGGAGGAGGACGAGGAGGAGGAGGATGAAGGAGAGCTTCATAAACACCTACGTGATGAAGTTGAGTCTGAGAAAGATAAAAAACATGAACATGACATTATTAAAGTGAATGGCTTCCATGAAGAACCCAAAGATGTTACCGCTAAAGAAGATAAGGAATATATCAAAGAAGGGCAGCATAGTCCACTTGTGACAGAACTTGAAGAAGAAAGAGATGAGAAGCTGAAAATTACACCTACAGATAAAAAGTTAGCAGAAAAGGCAGAAGAACTTAAAGTCACAGAAATGTTGAACAAAGAGGAAGAGTCTTTAACAAAACAAGACGCTATAGAAACAGCTCCTAGCACAGGGCAAGATGAAGTTGCAGTATCCACAGATATCTCTACAGTGTCAAAGGAACAACTTCAGGAAGAAGTACAAGGAATTATCACGTTTGCAAAAGAAATTGTTACAAAAACAAAACAGGAAAATGGAACCAAACAACATGGCAAAGAAGAAGTACATATGTTGAAAGACGAAACTGATCGTTTAGAACAGGTAAGTACAAGGGAAAAGAAGGATACTGAAGAAGGGGATGAAATGAAGGAAGCTTCATCAGCTAGCCCTGAGGAGAAACTGGATATCTCATCAGAAAAGAATAGAGAAATAACAGATGACACTAGAGACACAGATCAGAAATTAGATGAAGAGGAAGGCGCAGAAATTAAAGCAGCCGATCAGAGGTATCCAGCTGAAGAGAGTCAGCCAGATGAACGATTCTCGACCACTGTGGAGTCTGCAGCAACTACTGCACCCACATTACCAGAAGATGAGCGAATACCACTTGATGAAATAAAAGAGATTGTTGAGGAGAAGTATGTGAAAGAAGAAACTAAAGAAGAAAAATTAGCTGCCACTTCCATTGTTCCTACACGATTTGAACAACCCACAACACTTCCTCAAGTAGTAGTTGCTGGTGGAGTTGGCGCGTTTGACCCAATGGCACCCAGTGCTGTTGTCCATCTTGAGCGTGACATAGTGAAAACTCCAGATGAGGTGGCTGACTTACCAGTTCATGAAGAAGTAGATCCAGGCATGTATGAAAGTGATGAGTTCAGCAAGGACTTTAAGGGTAAGAATGACACTGCTAAGAAGCAGGTTTCACAACACGATTTAGAAGATTCAAGACAACAATCTCCAGAGTTTGACATCAAGGAAAAAATTCAACTGAAATATGATGATAATATAGGAAAGGTAACTCCATTTGAGGACTCTCAATTTGTGAATCAAGAGAAAGCATCATTCCAGGCTGTGGATAAAGACAAACTTAAAGAAACTTCTGAGACTGAATCTAAGAAGACTGAAAAGGCAGAACCAGAAGCTCCTAATATCGACTTTTCTGCAGACAAAGATAAGATTGAAAGCAATGGAAAGGTGTATGATCTGAAAGAAGAAAAATGTACTGAATTCTCTAAAGGAATAGCAGATGAGAAGGAAACTGAAGCTCATGTACTTATAAAACAGGATGTGCAGACTGAAGATGCAGATAAATTGTTAGCCACAACAGAAGCAGTTTCAAAGGCCGATGGAGTAGAAGACAAGAAAACTGTAACGGATAAAGTGGTACCTGAACAGCTACCTGAAAATGTTGTCAAAGTTGACACAGAAAAGGAGAAAGTAGTAGAAGGGCCCTTAGAAAAAGGAACAGATGGCTCTACATTAGTCAATGAAGAAGGCTTAGACGATGTGGTTAAGCAAGAAGTTTTAGATGAATCAAAAGACACTTCTAAACCAGTATTAGAAACTGAAGAAGAAAAAAGAGAACAGAGTGCTTCTGAATTTAAACCTATTGCAGAAACCTCCAGAGGTGAGGGACAAATGTTTGACACTAAAGCTGAAATAAAGCACATAACAGAAGAATTCATTGAAAAAGAAAGCTGTGCAGTAGAACTTGAGACTTCACAAGCTGACAAACAACACGATCAACCTAGTTCCTCTGAAACCACAGAACGAGAATCTGATAAACTTGAATTGGAGGATAGAACAGTAGAGAAAACTGACCTAGAAAAACCTGTATTGGAAGAAACTAAAGAAGAAATGGCTTTGGAAGACTTAGCAGGAGAAACATCTGAATCACAAACACGTGAGCTGAAAGACATGGACCTTAATGAGAGAAGAAAAGAATTGGAAAGACTGGAAAAAGAAACTGTAAAGACGGAACAGATGAAGAATTCAGAAGAAAAGGATGAATCAGGCAAAACTTCCCCTTCTACTTTAAGCACAGGAAAAATTCATGAGCCTGAAAAACAGTTAATTCCAGATATAACATCCGAAGAATCTGTCATACAGATGAAGCCGGTTCAAGAGAAGACAGATGTTCCAAAGGCACAATTTGAAGAAGAAAAAGACTTTAAGAAAATGGTTGAAGATAAATCTGTAACAAAAGAATCCAGATCAGGAATGGAAGATTTTATCACAAAACCTCAAGAACTCTCAGAGGATTATCCAGTTTCAGGGAGTTCTGATCATCCTGAATTTGAGAAACATGATGTGGTCAAGGAATCTGAAATTCATACCAAATCTTCAGAAATAAAACAAACTGTTGACCCATCAGAAGCAGATATCATAGAACCAGAGAAGGTAGATCTTGGTGGTGCTGAAACTAAAACCAAAGAAATAGCGGTTGTGAAAGAAATAATATTAACAAAGGAAGGAAGTGAATCTAATGAGGAGAAGGATATAGATGAGAAAGATAAAGCAAGCAAAGACTTCTCTTTAAAATCAGATGAGAGTGAAGAAGATAAGACTGATATTTCAAAGTTAAATACAGATGCACCTAAATGCATCGATGCTGAAGTTCCTAATCTAACAGCTAATGAAGGATTGCAAGACAAGCCATCCCCAGGTGCACTGTCGATGACATACCTTGAAATAATAGACAAATTACAGAAAGATTCTCAAAAGGCAGATGATTCTACTATTGCCACAGTCAAAGAATCGTCACCATTAACAGATTTAAAACAAGATGCCAGTGAAGGCCAATCAAAAGGAGAAGTACTTGCTGAGCAGGCTTCAAATGCGTTATCCAGAAATGATAATAAAACTGATGAGAAATCAAAAACAGATATCACAGAAAGTGTGACAAAAACTGATAGCTCTAGGGTTAGTGACATGAAAGGCATAGACTCTGTTCAGAAAACCACTGAAATAAAATATGACAAAACTGTAGAAGACTCATACAATGCTGTCACAAAGATTGAAGAATTAGATTCTGATGAAAGTGCAGGAGGAAGACCATTGATTACAACTGGTGAGTTAAAAGATTTGAAAGAAGTTACTGAATTTGTGCCTGTCATACCAGAGGAAGAAGCAGTGGAAACAAGAATTGAATCAGAATACGAGAAGTCTTATAACAAAGACGTTACTGAAACAAAATCTGATCAGGTGTCAGATGTCTGTAAATTGAAGGAACCTATAACAAGTGATTTATCTCAAGTGACAGATGAAGACGGCAAAGACTCAATTAAAGGTGACACACAGAAGACAGTTGATGGTAAAACCCTGGAAGAAGTGGAGAAGAAGAAATCAAATGTCAGTGCAACTGACCTGCAAGGTGAGCTGAAATTGGCTAATGATAATAAAGATGATAGTTATGGCGATGGAAGCATTTCTCCTGATGAAGCATATGTTGACTCAGGACTTGAGGAAGAGCCTGTGTACAGAAAATTAGAAGCCGCAGAACTTCCGGAGTATGTCACAGTTACTCCAGACTCTGGACCTCCTTCACCAAAATCACAGAAAGATAAGAAATCATCCCTAAAGACTGCAGAAAATGCATTAGAACAAGAGCCACTTGCTGCAGTTCAAACAGTGGATGAAAACACTGAAATAACTGGCCCCCAAGATGATACTCATAAAATAGACAGTATCACATTTCAGCCAGATTTTGATAAAGCAAAACATGAATCCCCTACTGATGATCTGGTTTCTGGCAAAAATGGCAGCACAGCCAACATCAAGGAGAAGACCACTGACTTCGGCGATGACATGTCCAAGAAGGAATTAGAAGCTGTAGCTGCAAGAGCAGATATGCCTAGTCAGATACCTGCCACAACAGCAGTCCCAGAAAGACAGCATGGCATCACCGAAACTCCAAGCTGTGACCAACCAGCTGAAGGACTGAGCTCAAGTGACTTGAAAATGGAAGCGCTTTGCGAAGCTAATGTTTTGGAAGATCTTGTGAGTGCTAGTAAATCTGCTATTGCTGAAATAGAGGGCAAACTCTCTGCTCAAATAGAAGAGATTCTCACAGCACCAAGAAAGGAAAGCAACCAAACAATATCTGAAATTCAGGAAAGTAAATCTGAAATTTCCTATGATACTACTGATAAAATACAAAGCAGTATTGACAAAGACTTGACAGGAACATCACAGGTATTGCAGGAAGAAGTAATAAGAGCATCTGAAGACAAGGAAAACGCAAAACCATCACCTACACATCATACTGAAGCAGAAGAAACCATGTTAAAGAGCAATGAAAAAGTAGAGAGTGAGTCACCTTTGGGTTTAACGGAGAAAGATGCTTCTGAAAAAGCACCGGAGGGTTCTGACAGGAAACAAGGACCAACAGAAGACATGTCATCAACTGAGCTGTGCAACAGGGAAGGTGCGTTGACATCTCACACTGCTAACACAAGTGTCATACAGGAAGAAATAAGTTTAGATCATGATAAAGAGAAAAATGCTATTTTAAATGAGATACATACAATTTCCACACCAGCCAGTGTGATTTCAAAAGAACTGCCCCTCTCTGTAATATCTGAAACAGACATATCAAAAACTATGAAGAAAGAGGTTACAGACAGAACAAATGTGGATCAATCAGCTGTTTCTAAATCAAAGGAAACAGAAGTTGTTATCACAGCCATAAGTAGTTCAGATCCAGTCTGCGTGACAACATCTAGGATATCTGAAATTGCCAGTGCTGAAGGTACAGCTGAGAAGAAAACTAATGTCATCATTGCATCTAGCACTGTTACTGTGTCTGATGATACTGGCACAGATAAAGAAATCTCTGACTCAGGAAATATTACAAGCTCTGTAACAGTGTGCCGCATGGTAATGACAGCAAGCAGTGAAGATGGGGGAATGGAGACAGAGCTTTGTAGTGGTGGAAGTATCACTGCCCCCACAACATCGAACACACTTTCAGAAACATCAAAACAAGTTATCAAAGAGGATTCAGGCAAAGTGACTGAGGATGTCAGTAAGAGAGACATATCAGAGACTATGACCACAGCAGGAACTACAAATGGTGATATGTATATAGGCGATGACTCTGCTAGTGATGGAGAAGGAAGCAGTAAATTAGTCATGAGAACAACCAAGGAACTGATTCAGACAGGTGACATCAAGCATGATGAGAGAGATGATGTGGAAGAATTCACTACCCAAGAAATTGGAGAGGATGGTAAAATCATAACTAGAACAGTTAAAACTACAAGAACTTTTGTAACTGCAGAAGGAGATGAGTCAGATGATTCTGATTTTGAAGATGAAGATAATATAGAGTCCACAGCTGCAGAAGACGGCTCAGACTCCAGCCGGATGAGCAAGATCACTACATCACTTACAACAGCAGTTAAAAGAGATGATAATGGTGTTAGACCGTTGTCAACAGACAGCATTGACAAAACTGCTGGAGATGTGGGTTCAGAAGTGGTAACGAAAACAGCCACTTCTATCATCACAACATTGTCTGGTGATGAAGCTGGTGAGGTGGTAACCACAACTACTGTAAAGGAAATTATTCTAGGGGATGGATCCACCCCTCATGACATCATCAAAGATGTAGATGTGCTCTGTAAGAAAGAGGAAGTCCCACAACTAGACTCCACTGATAGCAGCAAACTAGCAGATACATCAAAAGAGTCTTCCCCATTGAAGGTGACCGCCACTGATGTTACTCATTGTGTTCCAGCTCAAATAGACTCTGCAGCAAGTGCATTCAGTGTAGCTGGTGGGTCTGAGATAGAGGGAAATCTGACAGAAGCTGTAGGCAGTAAAGAGGCAGAGCAGAAAGAAGTGAATGGGAAGGGAAGTGATACAGAGTCAACGACAGTGGTTTCAACCACTGCAGTAGTGAAAAGTGTAATAGGAGATCTGGAAAAACCTTCATTTGTCTCAGCAAAGAATGAAGCACAAACTGGCTCATCTGAACCAACTTGTTGTGCCATCCCTGGTTTGGATGCAGACTCTGACCTGGATGCAGGCTGTGGTCCATCAAGTCCTCACAGTGGCATCAGTAGTGGTATGATGTCAAGGGGAACCAAAAACATGACAGGAAGCTGTGAGGGCCACTCGGACTCTCGGCACTATGACAGTGATGAGGACGATGATGATGAGCCAGGGTCACCTCTCAGTGTCACCTCTCAACTTCCGCCGTCTCCCCCTTCCAATTTTTATTTTGAGATGAGTGATAGAGTCACTCCAGACTATGAAGCCATGCACTTCATACCTTCTTCCATTAAGCATAAAGAAGAAGTTCCTTCCTCAATGACAAGTTCCCTCTATGGAAGTTTCCCACCAGAACCTTTTCAAGAATTTGATGAAGAACAAAGGAAAACAGAAGAACATTTCTCATCATCTTCTGTAGACGAAACTCCAATGAAATACAGTGGAACCGTATTATCTGAGGACAGTGTTATGACGGGCAGTTTTTATGGTTCACTAAGGGAGGATAAGAAGGCTGCTGAATCCCATGGTGTGCACGATTCTGTAAAGCGACTGCAAGAGGATGACACACTAGATTTTGAGCAAGCAAAATATGAGCACCGAGCAGCACGTGGTAAGGATCTTACCTCCTCTGGCTCTTCTTACAATAATGAAAATATATCTTCACCCACTCATGCAACAAAGAAATATGAGTATCAGTACATGTCAGGCTTAAATGGGCAAAAACTGAAAGATGATAATTCTTTTCATGAGTTAACTCAGGACTATGGTAATGCAAATGTTGCTGCTGGAAAACAGTATGAGGATCTTATGAACCAGAACCGTGATATCATGGGCCAGACAGGTTCTAGCTCTCACCAAGGACCTCACCACAAAGAAACTGAACACATATCAACAGATATTCTGAAAGACAAAAAAGAGACATCATCTGTAGCTTCAGGTATCAGTGCTGAACATGACCCAATTTTCCGCCACCAGTTTTCAGCCCCAACTACGTCTGCTTCAAGTTTTGCAGAACCACCACAAGGATTTACTCAGTCCTCAGGGGCGAAGGAAGACAATAAGAAAGACCCAATTGCAGACTGGGGGAAACCACTGGGTTTACCAGCTCCAACTCCACCGCCTACTAACAACGGCAACACTGCTGGTGAAGATTTACCAAGCACTCCAAAAAGAGAGAAAAAGGTGATGCAGATCAAGAAGACAATGAATGAAAGTAACAGAACAGCATCAGGGAAGGATGGAAAGTCAAAGAGACCAGATTCCCCTATGAAGCGACCTATATCAGAGAGAAAGCTCAGTTCAAATAAAGAAGGTGGTAGAAATGTAGGTGGGATGAAATCTTCTGGCAGTCCCATTTATATCAACCTCACGTATGTGCCCCATCATGGCAATTCTTACTACACAACTCTTGAGTTCTTCAAGAAGGTGCGAGCACGCTACTATGTGTTCAGTGGCACAGAGCCCAGCCGTGAAGTGTACAACGCATTACTCGATGCCAAGCAGACATGGGAAGATAAAGAATTAGGTATGAATAATAGTAAATAAATGTAAAGTAAGTTGTTCCTCTGCTTAGCTGAGCATTATGCCTTGGAGATGTATGAGGCAGTGGAGGTATAGCTCCAAGCTTCTTAACCTCAGCACTTAATGCAGTTGAATAATCAGCTTCAATTTCTGGCTACTTTACTCTCAGTATCTGATGGAAAAGGCTCGAAGGACTCCAGTTCTGATCTTGTTTCTCTGGTGAAGAGAAAAATCTCTTACCCATGCTGGAAATGGAACCTCAGTCCTCCATTTATCACACCCATAGACTAGCCACTATACTGACTGGGCTCTCTCAATAACAACAACAAGGATACAGAAATATTCAAACTTAAAGTATAAAATAAATGCATATTTGAATACTGTCAAGTGACTGATTGTTGAATAGTTCTATCTTCTGGATATAACATTGAGTTTGCTGCCTGTGTCATATTGCTTTCTTGCCTGACTTATAAATCTTCATAACCACTTCTGTGAGAACTTCAAATTCAGCATGAATAATTGATATTTGTATACATATTACAGGAAATTAAATTAAAAAAGGAAGTTTACCTAGTAAGAATTATATTTTTCATTTGCAGCTCTGCTGGTAAAATTGGTACTAAATCCTTTTGTGGTACCAAACAGACAACATTAAAGAATTATGGTTCAATCACACTCCACATTGTCCCACTTGTCAGCCATTCTATGTATATGAAGATGGCTCGATTGCATTGAATGTTTGATATCTTCAATACTACTCCTCAATCACACCTGTAGTGTAACCACCCACAAAAGTTAAATTGCCCGTATATCAAAGAAAAATATATTTCATGCTAGCATATGCCATTACTATGGCAACTTTAACGATTTATTGGTGTTTTTATTACCGTTTCTAACAAAAAATTTGACGGTTATTTAGGACATTGTACCTCATCAGAACCTTTTGTCTTCTTGTCTGTTGTCCAAAAACATAAAAATTAGAATATACAAAACTATAATTTTGCCTGTGGTTCTGTATGAGTGTGAAACTTGGTCTCTGACATTAAGGGAGGAACATAGACTGAGGGTGTTTGAGAACGGGGTTTAGAATATTTTGACCGAAGAGAGATGAAGTAACAGGAGGTTGGAAAAAACTGCATAATGAGGAGCTTCATAACTTGTACTCTTCTCCAAGTATAATTACAATGATCAAGTCAAGGAGGATGAGGTGGGCTGGTCATGTAGCACGAATGGGGGGAGACGAATGCATATAGGATATTGGTGGGAAAGCCAGAAGGAAAGAGACCACTGGGAAGACCAAGGCGTAGATGGGTGGGCAATATTAGAATGGATCTTAGAGTGATAGGATGGGATGGTATGGATTGGATAGATCTGGCTCAGGATAGGGACCAGTGGAGGGCTCTTGTGAACACGGTAATGAACCTTTGGGTTCCATAAAATGCTGGGAAATTGAGTAGCTGCAGAATTGGCGGCTCCCCCAGAAGGGCTCAGCTCCATGAGTGAGTAAGTAAGTAAGTAATGAGGGAAATGTTCTTATTCAGTCGGGCCCATTTTACATAATGGCAGAAACATATCCAGTTTCAGAAACATTGTATTTGAGGAAACTAAAAGGGAGAGGCATTGCCTAAAACAATAGTCATGTGTATTAAATACAGTGAATATGACAATGTGATCCTCCTATACATTTTTCTTATTAATTTGTAGAACTTGCATTACATAATTTTTCTGAGGTATGAATTATGACTAAATTTTGGACCCACAGGAGGTGGTCATGTGTTTGTGAAAATAGAAAACTGAGAAGATTTACTTAGAAAGTTTGTTTCTTCCATCACATGTCCCTTCCCACAGTCATTCCATTTTTTATTTTATGTGAGAATGTTCCTCTCTGTTCTTGTTGGCCTTCAGATATCTAGTTGAACCATCTTGTTCTGACACTTTGTCAATTGTCCTGCATTAAAAAACTAGAGAACCCAACGTTTTGGACAATGTATCTGACTCCATTCTTAGGTGAAGACACCTACTCTATTGGGTTATTTAGAAAGAGCTATCTTCAATCACCGGACAACCCATGTCAGTAAAACTACAGCTATATAAATACCTGAGACCAGGCTTTGTCAAAGTGAGATAACAGAAAAATATACAATAAAAATTGTGAAGAAGCATGCACAGACTTGAAACTAAGGCAGAAAGGGAAGTGAACAGTTTGTTCTTAGTATTTTTAGTATTTCCTAAGTGTGATGTACATTGACTTGTCCTTACACCCCTGAACATCACAATCCATGATATGAATCTTTCCATTTACGGACCACTCTCTCATCAATTGTTTGCTTTATTAGTTCACATCAGTATTAGCAAATACAATACATTTCTCAGTCGTTTGTTCTCCTAATGATGACGACGATGTTGTTCTTGTTATTGATTAATCATTTATTTTAACTACTGTACTTGAGATTTTACATAACATGTACTTGCAACTATTTCACAAGTAAACAATTGTCAAAATTTGTTGTGAAATTATGTCTGCTTTTTTTCGGTTTTAATTATTTGTTTGCTTTTAAGTTAATGTCCACATATGTAAATGACACTTCATAGAACTGCTGTGAATGTGTAGTGAAGAAATCACAACTGTAGCATCTACGACACTACCCTCTCACATCTCCTGAGTACTGAAGTGTATTATGTGTTTCAAAACCAGATTTTGGGAAACCGAATTTGAAGTCAGACAGACAACTGCAGTTTAAATGTGACGTAGAATAAGACACATTCCGAAATCTCACACTTGCAAGTAAGGTAAACCTGTGGAAGTAAGTGGAACTAATGCAACAATGGAGAATCAGAAATGTGTATTATCTCATTTTTCCTCAAAAGTGAAGACAGAAAATTCAAGAAATACATTTCTTAAGGCTGGAATTTAACTCTGTGCTTATATTCTGAGTACTGAAAGTGGGTTCTGGCAGAGAGAGTTGGGGATGGGAGGGGCCCAACAGTAAAGGCAGCCCTAGTAAGTAGCAGTAAGTACAGTGAGGAAAGCTGCCGTCCACCTGCCTTCAATGCTCAGTCAGACAATGTGTACAGCAAACAGCTCATAATAATGTTTTGTCCTTTTCACAGAGGTAACTATCATTCCTACATATGACACCGATACACTTGGCTACTGGGTTGCGGAGAACGAAGATGCACTTGCCATGCACAAGATCGACTTGTCACCATCAGCTAGCCGTTGCACCATCAACTTGCAAGATCATGAGACCAGCTGCTCTGCTTACAGACTCGAGTTCTGAATATTCCACCATCTTCATTCTTACATGGGAAAAATCTGAGATGATAGCAGCATGTCATATGTATTATTAAACCTGATGCATCTTGCTGCATGAGTCTTATAGTGATGTATACATATACATATTAACTGATGAATCAGGAATCATTTGAGGCTGAGTACATACTCTGGATTCTGCAGAAAATGTCTTCATGGAATTCTTTCTAGCAGTGTTACTTGGTCCCAAACAATCAGATGGAAATAGATTTCTCATGTCACTCTTATAGTACATGCATGCTAACTAATTCAGTTCTCCTTTAATGTCTGCCTTGACTACTATAGTCATACTATATTGATGGTACAGAGATTGTCTCTGCAATGTATATGTTATCAGTAAATTATGTAATTTTGTTATTTTGCAGAGTATCTATGTATTTCATGCATTAAATGGATAATGTAGTTAAAGTAAGTATTGAGAGGAAAGTTATGCACTCTAAGTAATAAGCTTCCATGAAGTAACTATTTGTGAGCAGTTAAAATGTAAAATAATGAGGTTTTGACAAGGTTAAGGTAGGTTATGTCAGTTACGCAGAAGTAACAAGACACATTCAACTCTTGAAAACAAGTAACATGTTACAAAGCATACAATAATCAGTCTTTATGGTAGTAGGAATGTGTGCACAGTAATGTGATGGTACAAATATGTGCAAATCATAGTAAACATGTTTTCATGCTTTACCTATATAAAATGTAGAGACCATGACTTCATTCTTAATATTACCTGCTCTTGATTAGTTATTCTATGGAATACCTATTTAAAGTGTATAACATGTCTGCATACATACTTCAACTGCAATGTTTAGTTAATATATGAAATAACTAAGTAGGTTATAAGATGATGGATTACACATGCTTAACAGTAACATATATATTCCTCTTGCTCTAAAAATTTAAATTCTAGTAACTTGCTTGATTTGACTTTCATTTAAATTTATACAAAATAATGGGAAATAGCTAATAATTTCACAAATCAAGTGCAATATATTTATTGCTATTCAGATTGTATTAGAGGCAATATTGACAAATATACACAAACCTCATTTCTTTTTCAGTGAAGTCTGAAATATATAATCATGTATAATGAGAGTCTACATTTTGCAAATTGCTATGACAAAACTATTTTTTGTTCATTGTCACACAATGAACGTGAAACACAATGTCATCAATTTCCTTGGATTTTCCATAATAAAATGGCAACAAGTTGGAATGTATGTACATGGGTGACAGTTTCAGCTCGGACTTTACAGTGTAGTTAGGTTTACCACATAAAAAAAAGTTCCTCATGCAGATGCACTATTTGATAGAGGCTCATGTTACAGTGTGTATAATACATGATGATGAAGAAATAACAAACAACACTGTTTTCAGATTATAACATTGTGGAAATTCTTCTGTCATTTTAGATCTTTGTTTTAATCAGATTAAGATTAGCTTAATAGGAAGTCAGACAGTAATTTATAATAAAATATTCTTGAAATGTTTGTAGTTTCAGATGATGCATAACTTACAAGTCATGCAATTTTTGTTTCCATGAAGGATAAGCAGGGGTTGCAATGTTCGAATACAAGTCATGCAATTTTTGTTTCCATGAAGGATAAGCAGGGGTTGCAATGTTCGAAAATCTGGTAGCCAGAAAATTACTTTGGTCACTCTAAAGCTTTATGACACTGACATAATATTAAGATGGCATGTAAGTCAGAAATTTTCTGCAGTCTCATTTTATTTTTTGTTTAGAACACAATGTTTAAAAAGCTGGCTCTTTTTCCACCATCAGGTAAAAGGACTAGATATTGTGTTTTAACCAAAAATGAGATTATGCAGGTTGTCCAAAATACATGTCAGTTTAAAAATTTTGGTCACCAGAAAGTGAACTAGTGTTCTCTGGCATCTTGTTGTGGCACCATTCACATGCACGATTAATTTTTTCATATTGTACTATCTGTCCAGTATGCAGGCCAGGCATAAAATAATGGGCAGAAATAGAATTTAAAATTAAAATCCTTACTACTTTTAACTATGCTGATTTTGACTTCTTGACTGTGGTTCACAATTTCCTCTATGCAACAAGTGGTGAAATGAGATTGTGAGAACATGAGAAGCCAACTCTTCTATGCTGAGTGGGAAGTTAGTTGCCATCCAAAACTATTAGGTCACCACTGCTGACCAAGCAACTGTATTTTCCAAACACTCCTGATAAATGGAGTTTCATACATTATATTTGTCAATGGCTTAACAGGAGTTCCACAAAATATATTCATTACTGAAGTGTCACAGCAGAGCTTTGGTGTAAAACTCCATTGCCCACATGTAAGAAAATTATTCAAGATGTCATTTTTGTTATTTGAAAACTGGCAGTAGATATATTCAGTTTTGTCAATGAATGTAGCAAGGCTAATTTCAGAAATTATGTTTCATTAAAAGAGAATGTTATATTAACTGTACCTTAAGAGAAAACCCTTACTTTGCTCCTTTATCTGAATAAACGTGTAAATCCAAATTTATTCTTATTCTAGTTTATTGTTAGTTTCCGTTTGCAAGTTTTGGTGGCATAACCCTGTAAACGCCCTTCCATATGATTCAGGAGACTGTTAATAAATTGAATTCACATTTGTTATGTTCCATAAATGTTGGGACACACAACTGAACATAGATGAAGTGTAGCAGAATTCACATCACGGAAAGGATCTGGTACAATATCTATCTTGAAGGAGAACAATATTAGAAATGAAAGAATTAATAAGTATAATAACTATGTGGGTGACTGTTTTTAAATGTGTATGCTCACCCTGAAACTCCCTTTTATGGTGTCATGTACTTAAAAATCAACAATTCTGGACCTTGATACAGAGGATAGTGTCTCATTTCTGTGCTGCTCCCTTCCAACTTAGAGTTAGATTTACTTGTATACATTTCCAACCCATAAACCATGTCACTACAAGAATTTTCACTCAACCATGTTATGATACATTTAGAGTAAAGCTTTTTAGTGTCATCCATTTTGAAAGCAGGAACCATCAACTGTATATTATTCATGTGATATCCCTTCATTAGACCTAAGTTTTTATTTAGAAGGCGAAAATTGCCAGCTGGAATAGCATTGGTTTATACAAAGAAGAAAAGTTGTTTAGAAACTGTTGTTAAGTGTTGCCTCAGATAGATTTTTATAATGAAGAATTTGAGTGGATAAGAAACTTGAGAATGCTATATCTGATAATTAATATGTACGTAATTATTATGTTTTTTAGAGGTGCTCAAAATTACATAATCTTAAAAATCCCCAAAATGAATACAACCATTATACTTTGGCAAACAACTGATCAAAAACAGTGACAGATAAACTGACATATTATTCAGCCATAGTAAAATTATGTAGCCCATAGTTAACATTAAGTGTAAGTTAAATGCAAGATTGTGGAGAAATATGAAAAGGTTAAAAACCCATGCTATCGTTTTGTACTTAGTGTGTGGTGTGATGCAATGTAGGCATGTGAGCTGTGCTGATTACAGTATGGGAAATTCTTTTTTCTTTGATGTCAGTGTGTTTATTAACACCTTTTTATTTTATGCAGTCATTAATACTGCATTATACATATTACATACCTAAGTTAGTAAACACAGTACTACTTTATAAGGCCTAATTTATACTTTCTTATTAGAATTATTTAATATTTTTTTTAAAGATTTCAGTGATATAACCTTTATTTATAACCTGTAATAGTATTCATTTCTAAGTATTGTTAGTGATGGTGTGGCTGGCAGATTGCATGAAAAGGATCTGAAGAATTGTACATTAACTATCAATATATATTATATTATTGTAAGATGTTATTTAATATATACTATCATGGTATAACTGTCAACTGGATCAGGAAGGAACGAGCTTCTTATAAGCCACTGTAATATTCTAAGCTGAGTTGAGATTGTAATGGTGCTAAGAATACCCAAAAATGCCTTGTTAAACAATTAATAAATATGAAGGTAGATGCTGTGGCTGCATGGCAAGGGGCCAACGGCAACAGACCACCATTGTTTTTGATGTGCAGGGGGGAGACGGAGTAGTGCGAGTTACTGTACTGTTCTAAAAATGAAGGAAATTTTTAAAAGTAATTTTTCATGACCATTATTGGCAGCAGGCCTTGTAGTTTCTGAATCAGGCTGTTTACTCCTTATTATTTATTCATTAATTTATCTAGTTATTTATTTCCCCCTCTTGGTAAAAAAAATGTGGACTTATTGTTGCACTTCGCTTGTAATTTCAGTGTTTTTTGGGAAAACCATTAAGAGTTAAATAATATTACGTAATTTTAAAATGTTATAATAGCAAGTTTTAAAAACACGCATTTGCTCAACCCTTTGCATGCCATGTACCGACCAGATGGGCTCTGTGTACTTGCATTAAAACCAACACAACCAAAGAGATTAGGCTCATTGTTAATCAATTAATACAGCATTTCTGTCAATAGAGGGCATAAAATTTGACATCATTGTTTAAATAAAAAAACAGGCCTTCACATAATGCCTATCTGTTGATGTGCAAAGGTCACTGGAGGAAAGTGTTGTGGGTCTTTCTGTGCAACTTAAATTGCTACCATCAGCCTTGATATTTTTTGCTTTAGTTTCATGGCGGAGCTTGGCAGTCAAAGGGTTAAAGTTGGAGCTTCTAGTCAAAAAGTTTGCTCTGTGCTTGTTCTGATATAACTGCAGTGTATGTATGGGTCATGTATGAAAAACAAAGTAAAAATGGAAATAAAAAAACGAAAACTAATAATTAGACATTGGTTCCCAACAAAAGCAAAATAATTTAATTCCTACTTACTTGTAATTCCTTTCCCTTTCCAAGTCCCTCATAACTCCTGATGCATGACACAAGAGGATTCAGTCCACATTTGTCTACTGATAGCTTCCCAGAACTGACATGCAGCTGTTGTGTATGGCTAGTATAAGCCAGTGGATATCACTACAAATCTTACAATTCCTGTCTAACAGAAACCCTTTTATACCCTCAAATCCTCATATTATACTTTCAAAACCTCTACAGCTGAGCCATGCAATGTTGATACAGTTATTGACTTTTTGAACATTATCCATCGCCCATTACTATACCATGTCACAGAATGTATATCTTATATACATGCGAAGTTGGTTATATAGGAAGAGTACTATCTTCTGGGATGTGATGCCGTATAGCCTGCTACACATTTTCGAGGAACATACTACCTCCATCTTTAGGGTCGAAGAGTAAGCCAGGCGAACAGCAGGTCACTCTGCTTCCTTCGTTTAATCTTCAACCATGAAGCCAGAGACAGTGGAATCTCTGAAATGTTTGTCAACTCCTACCAGACCACATGGTGTCACATCCCAGAAAGTCATAGTCAATGCTGTGGGAATCTGAAAGCAGATGATATGAACAAGTCTGAAAGTGGATTTTGACAATTATTTTTCAGTCTGCATTGGGTGTTCTGAGAATATAGTTGGTTAATATACATAGTACATATAATAAAAAAGTGAGATATATATAATCCAGAAAATTATCAAATACTAGCTATAAAATATATAACACTATTAATGAAAATAAATTAATAAAATATTCCAACAATAAAGCTGCAGAAAACAAAATGGAGTGACAAAAACAGACCTTGCTGTGATGGACATTTCTCTCATATCATAAACATAATTCATTTCTTATAATAAATAAAAATTAAATTCACATACAACTATTCACTATCAGTTGATAATCAAATTAAGATTTATATTGGAAAATAGGATGGAAATGCAAGAGAACTGTCAGTTCCCACTGGCTCACTCGAAGGGCAGATTGAACCAACAGGAATGCAATGCAACTCCCCAGTTTATCATCATCTGCCTCATAGAACACAGCAAGCCAATAGCAGGTGAGATAAGGAGAACTATCACAGGCCCTAAAAAGGGCCATTGAGCAGATCTGGGAATATGGGGAGACGAGTAAAGTTGTTGGGGGGGGAAACAGAGGACTGAGATCGGGAGAGAAGTCTCATGCATGCATAGTAGGTGTGTGCAACAGGACTAAGATTGAGACAGAAGTCTCATGCATGCGTAGTAGGTGTGTGGAACAGGACTAAGATTGGGAGAGAAGTCTCATGCGTGCATAGTAGGTGTGTGGAACAGGATAGAAGAAGGAAAGAGAAATAATAGTGATGGGAGGCTAGGGTACAAAGAAAAGGTTGAGGCTGTGTGCCTGGAGGGGGCACAGCAGGTGTCCTGACCAAAGGAAACCAGATATTTCCTTGGCAGGAGGTCAACTGACTAGATGTTGTGCCGGGACAGCACCTTGCTAATCCAGCTATAGTGTTGTCACTCTTCACCTGGGTGCCGATCAGGGAGGACAGAAGCCTTCTGTGGACACTTACATCAAGACTTTTCTGTGTTAAGTTGGGTTTGCTCCCTTTCAGATAATCCTGGTTTAGAGGCACCGGGAAGTTTCTCTCATCCTCTCCCATCTGTTACAATCTCAAGTTGCACTGTCCAGGAATCATGCAGCTGTTGGACATGGGAGTAAGATTTGCTGGTAGAGCTGACAGTTGTTGTGTCAGTAGGCATTCCTCAGTATTTTTTAAATTTATAATACTGGAATGCTTGATAGTTACTAGCTTGATAATCACATGAAAGAACATAGAAGAAATTGTATTATAAGTAATATCTTATTGTACCAAACTGTTAATGTCCAGCTATACATCAGCATGCAAATTACTGTCACAATTCAAAAAAATAAATATATAATTCACACAGCCAGAATACAGTAATTTGTTGCTTATTACAAAAACAGGTCTAGAAAAGTTGGATTCCTATTTTGGATCATTGTATGCCAATGATTTAAATGTGCCTGATGCCATGAAATGAAGACCATCTCTACAAACGAAATTCATGTTTTCAAACTGAATGCAGAAAATGATTCCGCAATAAATAAATTAATATAAAAAGCAGAGTATTCATTATTGACTTTATTTACAGCTACAGAAAAGCTGTTACTTCAGTATTCAGGCCGTGGTACTGGTATTTTGGATGAATGTGTTGCCTCCAGGATTGTAGTGTGTAGGTCGAGGAACTACCTTGGTTATACAGGTAGAGCACAAGGAAGGTGGTTACTGAGACTCAAGGGAGTGGGGGAGAGGAAATGGAGCCTGACCTAGACCAATGGGAACAGTGGGTGCTCTAAGCTGTCTATCAGAGGTGTGAAATGGATTTGTGAGAAAAGACAGCCCTTTTCAGGACCACTGTACATTCTCACAGGAGGGAAATTTCAACATTAAGAACTGAAATTGAGAGCCACTGTCAGGGCATCTGCAGACGGTAAGTGGGAAGAGACAAATAAACCTCTTTATGTGGTCTAGAGCTGTTCCAGAAGTGACTAACTTCTTCTTGGAGAGGAATTCCAGTCCTTCAGGTAATTGATGCTAGGCTTCCACCATCTGCTCAGAGAGAGAATCCATCCTCCCTGTTCAAGGGTGGAGCTTCACTTCCATGACTCCCCCTATAAACCAGTCTAGCATCTGGATTTCTTGGCCAGAATGTTGGTGTTATGCAGGATACAATGGTCCATGTTGATGCTGTGTATTACCACTGTGACAATTCCCAGTTGATATAGCAGGATATGACAGCAGTGTACATTGATGGCCTTGATGTGACTGCATTTCGGTTTGTCTTTCATTCACTGGTAATCTTCATAGTGACTCCTGTGAGAACCTCAAATCGAATATAATAAGCATCTGATTGCATCAGTAAATGCTGGAATTATATCATCATACAAAAATGGAACTACAGCAACGCCATGCCAACTGTGGTTCTGCCGACAGATCGAGTAGTGTCGATTTTTGGGTACATATGGAAATCAGTGTTGGTTTCCACACCTACAGATCCACATTTGCTGGAAACAAGGCTGTAGTGGTGTCCAAAACCAATTTTCTGGCTTTCAGATTGCCACTGTAATGTGTACTTTTGTGATAATTTTTATATCTTATACCTATTGATTCATATTTTTTTAATGAACAGGGAAATTCAGAAGTTTGGTTTCCATGACTGTACATAGTGGCTATGGTTTGCTCAATCCCAGTTTCCGATGTGATGTCATGTCTCTCCAATGGTGTCATTCTTCAGGAATGTAACCCCGCATAGCCAAAAATAAACTGCTGCATTGCAAAGTATATAAAATAGAACGGCCACTACCAAACTAACTTCATGGAGCTGAGCCCTTCTTGAGAAGCTGCCAGTTGTGCAGCTACTCAAGAACTTCCAAGCATTTTAAGGAAACCAAAGGTTCATTACTGTTTCACAAGAGTCCTCCACTGGTCCCTATCCTGAGCCAGAGCAATCCAGTCCATACCATCCCATCCTACCTCACTAAGATCAATTTTAATATTATCCACCCACCTAAATCTTTGTCTTTTTAGTGGTCTCTTTCCTTCTGGTTTTCCTACCAAAATCCTATATGCATTACTCTTCTCCCCATTCATGCTGCATGTCTTGTCCATCTCATCCTCCTTGACTTGATCATTCTAATTACACTTGGCGAAGAGTACAAGTTATGAAGCTCCTCAGTATGCAGTTTTCTCTAACCTCCTGTCATGCCATCTCTCTTTGGTCTGGATATTCTCCTCAGCACAATGTTCTCAAACACCCTCAATCTATGTTCCTCCCTTACTGTCAACCTCAGTCTATGTTCCTCCCTTACTGTCTGAGACCAAGTTTCACACCCATACAGGACCACACTATTTATTAATATTGTTGAAGGTTATGCCATTTTTATTCTTATGAACTAATTAATTTAAGATTCTTTGATAACTTTAAAAGCTAAATGGAAGAACTTCTACTATTTTGGTGTTGTACTGAAGTTTAATGATTGTTCTTAAGCAACATAACTATATCAACAATGGAAACCATGATGAAAACTGGTCATCAGTTTTTTACTTTCCTTGCAAAATGCCTCACACAACATAAAGGGGAAACAACAATGATCATAACTGCAGTTTTCTTGAATTCCACAATATTGTGCAATTCTGAAGAGTCCTATTTTTTGGGACATAATACTGTGCAGTCCACTGAAAGTCAACTGACATTTCAGAGGAACATGCCATCTTCCATCTTCTACTTTCCACCTGCTTTCACACTGGTTTCTTGCTTGGCTTATTCTTTGACTTTGAAGATGGAGGCGACAAGGTCATTCGAAATGTCAGTTGACTTTCGACAGACTACGTGGTGTTATATCCCAGAAAACAGAACTCTTCATAACCATCTCAAATCCTGTGTTGCACAATTCTACTTTTGTTCTGCATATACACAGCAAAACATTTACAAGATTTTCTGTTTCTCAGACATCAGAATAGCTTATCTGACATAGTTTCTGAAGATAAACTTAATTTATTTTCATGGTTCTAAAATAAACACTGTCCTCTCTCCCAATAGATTCCTAAATTCTAGATGTCTGTTGCCATTAATGGTACCAGCACGGTTTCTAGTGAAGTCACAAAATAAAAACACGCATGACAATATTAAAGACTAAGTCCATGATTTATTTAATCCGTCTTGCAGTGCATACACTCATTTATCTCCTTCTCTCCCTCGCACTACATGTTTCGGCATAATAATGCCATCTTCAGGTGCTTACTTATCCACGTCAAACCAGTTCATTGCATGCCACGTTCACACATTAAAATAACTAAAATATGTATCTATCATATACATTGTCAAACGTTAAAAATATTAAAATTGTTCAGGATACCACATCGCTACGTCGCCCCTCACTACGTCAGTCACGCCCATTCTCCTTTGTTGGAGCACTCCTTCACTATCTTGTGTGTCTGTAACGTGAATTTTTTATTCATTAATACCGCGTTCCGTATTTTATTTAATACTTGTGGTATTATAGTTTTTTAATAATACTTACTGTGCTTTTGTTGTGTCGTGCTCCTGCGACTGCGTGTGTTATACTGTTGGGCTTCCTGGGTATGTGTGTGTNCGTGGATAAGTAAGCACCTGAAGATGGCATTATTATGCCGAAACATGTAGTGCGAGGGAGAGAAGGAGATAAATGAGTGTATGCACTGCAAGACGGATTAAATAAATCATGGACTTAAATCAGTGCAACGGGACGCTGAAATATAACATTATTAAAGACTAAATTGTGGACTTCGGAGAAATATATTTAATAAGAAACACTAACACAAAAATATGTCAGAAGATTCTTTCACCTATCAAAATCCTTGTTATATTATTTTCCTTCATTCACGGGTCAATTAGAGAGGTCAATCTCTATTACTGGACGAGGTCGAGTCAAGCAACATTCTACTGTGAATGCAAGACAATGGACACAGTTCAGAAATACAATAACTGCTAAATGTTACATACCATTTTCAGAACACATCTGACATGAATAATGGATCACAAATGACGGAAGTGGTCACGGCCTAATTCAAGATAGTGTCCCAGCATTTGACTGGAGAGAGATTCTTCTATCATTTCAATTTATGCGTATTCATACATAGAACAAAGGACAAATCCAGGTATCTACGAAAAACAAATTAAGAAGGGAAATCAGAATGGGGAGCACAGGGATTGGGACTTGGTAATATGAGACTAAACATGACTTGGTAAATCTTTGGTTTCAGAGTGCATTTATCACAGAAATAAATAACTATAGTTGCTAGCGAGTCACATGGAGAAAACAGAAATATTTTTTCTCTCTTTCGCTCTCACATAGTAAAAAATAATTTGTATAATAGAAGAAGCCTATTTACAATATACAATATACCTCTCAAATGTTTTGTATGTAGTCCAGTCTATTCAAAGCTAACAGCTTTCAAATGTGGTCCAGTGCAAGACAACATTTAATGTTGTTGACAAAATAAAAATTATGCACCAAAAATATACAAACGTGTGATGCTTTTCACTACACCTGTACGATAAATATTATCACATGATAAAAGTTCAAGAAGTTTATGGTAACATACGAATAACTAAAGCAACATGACATAATGCTCTTTAAAATGTGATGTCTTCTTCAATAGATGCATGCTGTGTAGTTGTCTGGTTCTTAGAACTGGTGTACTGCACATGTTTCAGTTTCAGAGACTGACATTCAAAGGGCTTAGAAGCGAGTATCATCAGGCATTTTGATAAAATAAGCTACTTTGTCCTCAGGCACTGCATAGCTGTGTAACCAGCGATTTCCTTTTCGCAAACTTCCATCGATTCCATCCTTCCATACACCAGCAGGTAAATAAACCTCACGTTCGTAAGTACGAGGCGATATTACTGGCGCTACGATTAACTCATCACCAACTGAAAATTCATCCGTAACCAGATGGCATGTAGGGTCATTAGGATCCAACAACCACAATGGTCGGATTATCGGAATCCCGAACTCCAATGCGTCTTTTACATACTTGTCCACAAGCAGAGGATTTACCTAGAACAAACACGTTTATATGGTCAAGTTCTATGCTTACAGTCTGGTGTTTTGGCAAGTAAATTCAAATTCCCAAGATTCAGACACTAAAGGACACAGAAGACTGTGTGTGTGCTGCAGTGAACTGCTGGGGGCACAAATTAGTGACAGGGTTATAATTATCTGTAATTGCATGTTATAAGAGTCCAATAAATCCAATTACCAATCCAAACCCTGTCTCTAGTCACTAAATATATGATAGTATACCTTCAATTTCCTACCATGACCCTAATACAGAACACCAAAAATAATATAAAATTTACTCCATATCTTATCAATATGTACGGTATCCATGGCCTGGAGGTGCACAATAGACCCAGATGGGCTCTGAGCACTTGGAATAATTAGAAGTTGTTCTCCCCATGTCAACATATATGATACATATGATAGCACCAGCTATTATGCAATGTGATTCAAATCCTTGTTCCCTAGTTTTTTTCATTACAAGAGTACACTTCAGTTTCTTAGAAGAATTGTACCTTCCAGAATATAACATCATGTAGTATGGGGAAAGTCTATCATTTGTCATGACCTACTCCGAGGTAATATTCTGGCATTTGTGTGAAGAGACTGAGAAAAAACACAAAAAATCCTGTCAGGATAGTCCATCTCTGTGCCAAGGTTTGAACCTGGGACCTTCTGACTGTGGCATTCAGTTTACAGCAAAGAAGCTGGATCCTCAACTAAACACAGCAGCTGCAAAACTGACTGACTACCTTGCTATACTAGGTACACAAGGCTTGAACATTAAGCTTACCATATTTACTGCAGTATAATATCCACCTGTTTTTGTATAAAATTATGCCTAACATCCTGGTTCATCTTTCAGTACAGAATTTTTTTATTGCAGGAGGGTTGGGACTAAGTCCCTTGTACTGTGGCCACTTCTGGCCTATTGTACCATCCCCAGATGATAGGTGAGGGTGATTGTTGAGCAATTGGTGGAATGAAGATTGGTAGGGGAAACCGAAGTACTTGGAGAAAACCTGCTCCAGCGCCACTTTGTCCACCACAAATCCCGCTTGACCAGACCCGGGATCGAACCCAGGCCTCTGCACTGGGAAGCTAGAGACTAACTGCTTGAGCTATGGCACGAACTTTTAGCACAGATAATACAGCTGTTGTCAGAAATGATGCTATTAATTATTCAGACAGACAGGACAGATAGTTCACAAATATGTGCAGCAGGACAATTTCCACTGGTAATCATGATTCACAGTGATCCATATTCAATGATACCTAGGGTTAAGTGACTTTTCCTTCACTGAAATGAGATTTTCACTAAATGGCAACTGTGTAAAACTATAACAAGAAATTGTTCATCTTATGAGACTTACTGCATATAATTGTGATGGAACTAAAAACAAGAAGAAAGCAGTCTTCTGGAATTTGGCACCATGTATATGTGTAACACACATTCATGGTGCCAAATCCCAGAAGACTGCTTTCTTCATAGTCACCGCCGTGAAAGCCTCAAATCTTACATAAAAACAAGAAGTTCTGAGAAAAACTAATCACCTACTTTCCTTTGATATGACACATGCTGCACAGAAAAAAGTGTCCAACAATTATTCTATTGTTGCGGGTGTATTCATCACCGCAGTAACATTTTTACCAAGCAGCTGCATAGCAACAATAGAGGAATACATATACAAACACAGACTGCTGGGAGGGATTTACGAAGTACGCTGTCAAGATGGGCATACATAGCAAGTTTCATAAAGATTGGTTTAGGCATTCAACAGTTAATGGGGGGATTCACAGACACACAAATACCATGGACAATGCATAAGGCTACTTTCTGTTTACACACAAAAAAATACAATTACAAAACCAACAACATGAAATCAAATGGTTATGATTTCTGAGAGAGAAAACATGAATATAAATTGTTGTTTAGACTACAATCACACTAAATCTCTTACACTAATTGAGAACTGTTTACAAAATTGAAACTCGCTATTATAGGAAAATAATGGTTTATAATGTGCTTTGGCTACAACCAGAAAAAAAAATGCACCAAATGTGGGACTGCTAAATTGGGATTCCACTAAATGCAGGGGCACTAAATCAGGATTCCACTGTATCCTACATAGATATCACCACAAAGAAGAAAAAAATCCAGTGATTAAATGATTTAACACAGAGAATGAAACCTTAAAAACTTACAATCTTGAGCCGTAATGCTGTGAGGACCTTGGCCATCTCTAACACACGTTCATCACCATATTTGCTGGGTAAGTGTGCATAGCGAATCACTGGCAGGAACGTTGCAAGCTGGAGCCATCTAACATAAAGTTCCTTGTCTGGAAGAGGAAGATGGGTGCTCGTTCCGCCACTCTCACTAGACCTATTTCCCATCACTGTTGCATTCCCAGTCACACCAGCATGACTTTCCTCTGAATCCCTATAATCTCCACCAACTGCTCCAGGCATAATAAATGGATAACCCATGACACCATATGTTAAAACAGTGGGTATTATGGACTGCATGGACTTCCAAGAGGAAGCAAATGGGGGTAAAGAAACAAACACAGGGGCTTTAGGCCTTGTGATGGCACCGGACACCCCCACAACCTCAACAGCACTGAGGATACTGTCAGTAAAGATTGTCTTGTACTGGTCCGGGTTTGTGAGCTGATTCTCAAACCGATAGTAATGTGGCATGTCATATGCAGTTCCAACATCGAGGTAGAAGGCATCAATGTGGTACTTGTCCACCAGAGCCTTCAGTTTGGTCTGAAGCCATGGCACAGTTTTGTTGTTTGTAATGTCCAGCATACCGGCACTTGCCACATCTTTGTATCTTGTTAGTGCCGGAATGTGGTGTTCCGTATATCGTTCGTTAACAAGCAGATGTTTCTGGACTGCTTCAGCAAAGTTGGTGGATTCTGTACTCAGAAATGGCTGAATGGTGAATACAATACGAAATCCACGTCTATGGATAATATCTATAGTCTCGTCCATAGTTGGAAAACGGAAGGGATCCAGGACAAAGTCGCCAACGTGTGGCTGCCAGGCTTCACTCAGTAGCACATGGCCTTGCCTCAGGAAACCAAGCGCAATCACATCTTCTGTGTAATTGTAAATGGCTCCCTCATTCAACTCGCTTCCTGGGCTTGAGGGTATCTGCCAAACTGGTTCTGTGAGAAGTGAATTTATAACATTCAGATCTTCTTCCTTTAACCCATCCCACAGCTGCTTCTCAGAAAAAAAGGAATGAAGTGACTTCATGTTGCTTGATGTACATATGGAATAATTTAATTGTGGGAACGGTGTCGAGTGGTATACATATGCAAAATCATCGTGTCGCGCCTGGAGACAGAACTGACGAGGACGATCTGAATTCACAGAAACATAAAGAGGTGTATCAGGATCAACAAACACTGTAACGCCATTGGAACTGATGAAGTAACGCTTTAAAACATTTCCCCATTCATGCTGTCGAACATCTCCAGTGATGAACGGCGACATCTTCACTGAGCCCTTCTCAATAGGCCAGGCCATCTTCTGAGTCTGACCTCCGCCATACAAATGACCATCAGACCACTCATAGCAGTCAGTAGGATGGAAGTCTGAAGTAAGACTTTCCCATGTTACATGGTAGCAACGCACACCTATGTGCTCTGTGTAGTTAATGTATAAACGAGCCTTGTGCATCCATTCCATGCACACAGACCTATCATCCAGAATATCATTTGGTAGACAACGGAATGCCTGATCACCACCTAAATGCATGCCTAGGTGACCATACATGATTTCACGTCCATTATTACTGAAGACTCGAACAATACGTTCTTCATTGTTGAAACGGATGCTTTTGAAGTATGCTCTCTGAAGAAAAACAGAGAAACAACGTACTGAGAACAATAATTGTATACTATAACATGTCCGTTTATCATCTACATCTAAATGTGGAGAATAAGTGCACCTTTACATATGAGTAGTTAAATATTATTGTAACAATGTTCTGTGTAGAACTCTGCTCTCTGCTGCAAAGGGAGGAGCCTGGCCTCCCTGCAGGTGATGCTCCAACATGCATATGACTGGCAGTAATCATGAAAGTTTTTGGTTTTTTTTTTTCTTCATAAAATGGAGGTAAATGGGACGAGATATACTCTTTTCTCCCTTTGGTGCTACAGCCCCAATTTGGGCCCTGGCCTACAAAACACTCCATTTCACCTCGGTTTACTCGATCTTGGATATTCAGTAGGAGTCCTTGGGTGGGTGATCAGATTGTCGCAAGGCCTCTACCTGTATAGAAACACTGAATACCCATCCCCTGAGTTGGATTCAAACCCACAATCCTGGCGAGATATACTTTACTGTTAAATAAATAATAAAAATTATCTTTAGAGCTTCTGCCCTTCATTCATTCTGCAGACAAGTGAGAGTAAATTCAGTGCATCTACTGAGGAAGTGAATGCTGTAATTATAGCCAACCAACATACCTGAAGAACTTGTTGATGGTAGACATATGCAAAGCCAACAAGAAAAACAATAGAAAGGAAAAGAATTCCAACAAAGGCACGAAGTTTGTATTCCTGTGGTCTTTTCTTCTTCAACATCGCTGGAAAAGGCAACTGAAAAATGAAATTTTATTTCAATTTAAATGATGTTGCCTCAGTGCAATATGCAGTAAGAAATTTGTACCAAACACCTCTGCAAATTATCAAAATGTAATGGATATTTTAAGAAATAAAAATGCAATTTACACTCAAGAAGTAATTCAAACAAAAGGAAAGATCAGTTTATTTAGTAAGACACGTCAGACTCTGTTAGAAGTGTATGTGCTTACCGCAAACTTTTCCTTAAGTAAACTGGATATGCTGTTAATGCTTGTAATAGAATTTTGTGGTGAATGATCAGGACCATCTGATGATTCCAAGAAATCACCATTGTTGATTTTAATGCCTGATGGTGGCATAACTGATTTCCTCCTACTAGTACGAAGTGGAACCCTGAAATAATTCATGAATTTACTTAGAAGTGTGAAACATGCAACAATAATGCATAACACATTTTTCTGATCTTAAAAAGTAAAAAGTAAGGTAAAGGTAACCCTGTAACAGACCGTGGAGGCCCATAGGGTTGAGAGATGCTGAGGTTCCCACATTTTCTAGACAATCGGCTCATAGACGATGGCAAGGTTCTCAGCCTTACACCACGGCAGCTCTTTGCCCCCAAGAATATTCCTGACACTGATTTCTATTAGAGGCTGAGTCGACCCCATAGTGTGGCTGGAAGAGTTAGGTCAATTGAAAAAATCCAATGACCTTATTAACTATAAAAACAATGTTTATCAAAGGAGGAATTGTGCTTGGAATTATTGAACTTCTGGACTTTGGCAATTGTCTGGTATTCTAAAGAATGCAATGTTTCAGAAACTGAAGCTGAAAGAAAACAGACTTTAACAGCTATGTTGACTATGGTTCAATATTCATGTAATTTTAACTGCAAAAAACTGTCACTGAACCATTGTAAGGCTGATGACATTGTCACACAAAAAACAGAATAACAACATATTAAAATGCAAAGGAACAATTTCCAGACTCAAGACATAACTAAATGGAGTACAGTCTCTTTCAGAAGATAATGTCAAACCTGCAGAAACCAGAAGTTAATTATCATATACACAAGAGCCTGACTAAAGGGACTATAATGCTTAAAAGAGAACGTGACCTCCTATATACACACATGAAATACAGAAAACAGAAACGTTCAATATGTGAAGAAAAAACTTTTTACAACTTCCATTATTTACTACCAGGGTTTATAGAAATCTTTAATATAGTTTTACCTATATTTTACCAAACATTTACATCTGAATTCGAAATTAAACGTCGTTCTTGTTCAAGACAAAAATAATAGACAGCAAGCATGTAAAATATAACTTATAACCTCAAACAGAAAAAAAAACTATTACGATCGCTACATCACAATTCTAATTTCACCACAGTCCCTTTATACTTCAACGCTAGATCTTTATCGTGGAATTACACAAGGAATACAATAAAATTAGTGTTATATCTGATACCTCCCAATTACTATATTATCTGGGTCACCTCAATAAACACATGCACACAGAAACTTGTTGCGTACGCATTTAATGGCGCGAATATAACCAGTTACACTGATAACATGTTATTTTTATTGATATATATTATGTTCCAAAGTCCAGCGCTGTGCATTCCAGTCTATTTATTTTTCTCAGTATAATGGTAACACCAAATACTGTATCTATTAGAGTCGATTACTTGTCAAATCGTGCTTGCTAGCCTGACGTCTCTTCCTGTCAGCTGACCAGAGCAGACAACTAGCGGACAGTACGATAATCATGTTAGGTTGCGTATCTGTGTAAAACTTTCGGGCCTACAAAAAAAGTTACATTTTGAGTTAGTTTCGCAGAGTATGTATGTCAGCTTCCGCGAGACAATAAATACTCAAGTTAGCGACAAACGCACAACTGGTGGAAGAAGTCGGATCGAAAATGGATCCAACATTTCAGGCGGTTTGAGGTAGTTAAAAGCCCACCAAAGGTCATACAACTCGTCCAAGACAAAATGGCGGATTGCCAAGACCAATTAAATAGCGAAATAAGTGTCATAAAAGCTGTCGAGGGCGAATTGGAACAGACACTAGTTGCTCCAAAACACGATACACATTACAATATAATTAGAATAAAACTGCACAGTAACCGTTTCGACATCTCGTTTTCAGTGGTGAAGTGTTCAGCTGACAAATTAATGTTGGATATTCAGATATGATTAGAATTTCAAGCAAAAAATAACTTCGAGACATACATGTAGCCAGAAAGATTACTATATATTCTCTTATGGTACTTATTTTATTTAAGTACGTTGTAAGTGCCTTAGAGTATACATCGACAAATGATTGGATGATTAAAGAATGAATGACCAGACAAGATGTGGAAGGAAGCCGCCGTAGGCCATTTTAAGGTGCTATCCCTTAATTCGCCTAGAGGGATTGATGGAGACCCTCACGTGTACTAGTCGGTGTCCTGACCTAGATTCAAACCGAGCACCTCCCGAATGCAAGTCAGAATAATTACAACCTGCGCCAAAATGCTCTTTTTTCGAAATGTTATTACAATGCCGCAATCTCGAGCCAGCGGTGAAAAAAAGAAATCACGCGATTGGCAAGTTAGAGGCCTTACGGTAAATCTAGGATTAGGAGAACCGCGCTGCTGCTATCATTAAGCAGAAGATAACACAGTGTCTGCTCACTACCGAAACAGAAACAAAATTCATGTTAAAATTATAAATGAAATACGATAAATGATATAAACTCCGTCTCAAGTGCAAACAATATATTTGTGTCTTTGATCTTGCTCCCTACACTACATGTTTCGGCCTCAGACGGCCATCATCAGGTGTATAACACTCACGTCGCTGTCACACTGCACCCAGTTCAAAATTTAACATCTAAAATACTCTCCCTGTCATTATCAACTTCTACTTCGTTGATAGCTGTCCACCCGTAGATCGTAGGGAGCAAGATCAAAGACAAAAATATATTGTTTGCGCTTGAGACGGAGTTTATATCATTTATCGTATGGAGTGCAACAGGATGCTTAAATATAATATTATAAATGAAATTTGAGAAGGCCTTATACATGTGCAGCGAAAAGAAGCACTCCAAGAAACTTGCTGGACGCTAGGAGTTGCAATCGGAGTCCTGGCTCCAGCAAATGCTGATCTCTTGGTGTACACAGAAACGGCGCCCAGGTATATTAGTGCATTGGTATTATGGTGTTGCTACTCGTTTCCAAATATTCCGGATACAAAATATACAGAGTCCCAGGAAGAAAGGTCAATATTCTGAGAGGCCATAACATAGGTCATTCTAAGCAAAAAAGTGTATATGTACATGTGTACCATTCCGAACGGTTACCGAGATAGAGCTATTTCACTGCACAGTTTCACAAAATTGTTGATAAGAAAGAGATATTACGTATGGTTTCTAATGCCGATATTTATTGTTCAAGTGAAAAAGTTGGTACAGTTTACCTAGTATAATACGTTTTAGAAAATTCCACCATTAACATCAGTGCACTTTGCAACTCGCGTGAGGACATGGCGTGTTGCTCGTGTGTACAGTGTACAGTGAAACAGCTCTATCTCGGAAATTGTTCGAATAGGACACATGTACATATACACTTCTCACTTAGGATGGCCGATGATCGTTTCTCGGCCGTTTGGCCCAATGGCCCAGCCTTTCGGCGAGTACCGATGAGTAGATTTTCGTGATCCTGTTACTCATCGAGATTGGTCGCCAGTTGGATATGTTGCTTCTGTCGCCCTTTTTGTGTATCAGAACGGTCATTGACTTCGATGGTCGCGCCATAGCTCAAGCGATTAGTCGCTGGCTTCCCACCGCGGCGGCCCGGGTTCGATCCCGGGTCTGGTCAAGTGGGATTTGTGGTGGACAAAGTGGCGCTGGGGCGGGTTTTCTCCGAGTACTTCGTTTTCCCTTGCAAATCTTCATTCCACCAAATCCTCCATCAACATAATCACCCAGGGCAGGCTACAATAGGCCAATCAGTGGCCGCCGTGCCGAGTGGACCCAGTTGGACTCCACCCCCCCACTAAACTGAATTAAAAAAATAATTAATCTTATAGATCAGCCAGTCGCAAGGCCGCTACCTATACAAGACAGCACAAACACAGATTAAACGCAGACATCCTTGCCTCGAGTGGGATTCGAATCCACAACCCCAGTGTTGTGGCCACTGTGATCGGTAAATGGTGAACATGACCCTTGATTCCAGGTTCTTACGTTGGTATTAAGATTGGGACCCCAGGATGTCATCCTACATGCTTATATATTTATTTGTAGTTTACTAATGACGTTGTAACTCATCCTATTTAACGTTGAAACGTTTTGCAGTTTGGTAGATAGGTACTAACGTTTCGGAGGTATTTCCTGCCTCCATTTTCGGGGTATAGGTTTGAGTTCAGCTTTAGATAACTTACTTAACAGTGACAGCGTCCTCTTCTGAAAGAGCGCCGTCTCCATCGGTAAACGTGTCGTCGCTTGAATCGTCACCATGTCTGGAAGAGGTATCCTGTGAACCCAACACAACATATTTTAAGGTCATATAACTGAGATATTTTTTTATTGCTAGTGGGGTGGGACTAATTTCCTTGCACTGCGGCCACTTCTGGCCTATTGTACCAGCCACAGATGATAGGTGAGGGTGATTGTGAAGCAATTGGTGCAATGAAGATTGGCAGGAGAAATCGAAGTACTCGGAGAAAACCTGCCCTAGCGCCACTTTGTCCACCACAAATCCCACTTGACCAGACACGGGATCGAACCCGGGCCGCAGTGGTGGGAAGCCAGCGACTAACCGCTTGAGCTATGGCGCGGCCCTAACTGAGATATTAGTGCGAACATTTGTGGCAACTGAGTATACTAAGACCACAGAAATGTGCGGCCATAATTGTCCCTCTCCCCCCCTCCAGCGTACTTCACTGTAACTCCCTTCCCCTTTAGCCATTCTCTTCATACGAATATTAAGAGTTTACAGCATTAAATGGTGAGGAGATTGGTGAATAATAACTTGCAAAGAGAAACTGTACTCGCCGAGATTCGAACCGAACAACTCATGAATATAAGTCTAGTTTAATATCGCCATGACAAGCTGTTCGATACGCGACTGTGTGATATACATCAATACTGATAAGTGATTTGGGCTTGTTGACAGAGCTACGTGAAACTCCATTGTCATTCCCGCCATCCACGGTACTTCCTTTCGTGGCCTTACTATAGATGACACCTCCATCGCTACACAAGAAAGTAAGGTAACCGTGTAGGCCGCGCCATAGCTCAAGCGGTTAGTCGCTGGCTTCCCACCGCGGCGACCCGGGTTCGATTCCGGGGCTGGGCAAGTGGGATCTGTGGTGGACAAAGTGGCGCTGGGGCGGGTTTTCTCCGAGTACTTCGGTTTCCCCTGTCAATCTTCATTCCACCAATTGCTCCACAATCACCCTCACCTATCATCTGGGGCTGGTACAATAGGCCAGAAGTGGCCTCAGTACAAGGTACTTAGTCCCACCCCACTAGCAATAAAAAAAAAGGTAACCATGTAAAGTTGTCCCTGTGCTTCACCAATTAATGTTTACGGCACGAAGACTTGTGAGAGATTGGATGTATAGAACCACGTTTTCTTGACCTCGACACTAGCTGGAGGTGAGTAGTCAACTCCACGCCCCGGCCGCTTTACCCCAGGTACCCATTGGATAGGAGGCTGGGTGGACCCCCGAGCCGGTCTGGACGGTATGGAGAAAAGAAAAATTTTGACCCTACCGGGACTCGAAATCCAACTCTCGGTCGTCCAGCCAGTACCCAGTCGCTATACCGATTGATCTATCCCGGCTCCTACTAAACAAGAAGTGGTTCATATAACTAAATACCAAATATGTCGCTAGGTAGCTAACTAAATAACAACATTTATGGGTTTTTATCATGGACAAGTTTCAAAACAAATATTTGTTACTGTAAATGTAATATTTTGGACATTGGACACTGTCCACTTTCATGACGTTTTGTGGACAACGTTTCGGAAACTGGATCTGTTTCTATCATCAGGTATTTCGGAGGGACCCAATGGTCTTCTCATCGAGGCTAGAGGCTTCCAGTGTACCTTACTGGGAAGAAACTTCGCTGTCTTTCGTCCGATGAAGCAAAGAGATGCAATTTCCTAAGCGTGCTAGAAAAAATGTCAAGACAACTGACACCATCCTCACCGTAACACACTAACAAGAGAAACATTTAGGTTCAAATGTATCATTTTGAGCTTGTTTCCTTATTTTGACCGCCTATGTGGTCTAATGGTCAGAGTTCGTGGCTACCGATCCAGAGGTCCCGAGTTCGATTCCACGCGCTACCAGTTTTTCTGAGAAGTAGTGGATCTGGAACGGGGCCCACTCAGCCTCGTGAGGAAAACTGAGGAGCTATTTCAAGGAAATAGCGGCTTCGGTCTAGAAAACTGAGATTAACTGCCGTGGGGATCTGTTGCCCTGACCACGTGACACCCTCTATCCGCAAAAGTTGGCACTAACTTCGCCGACAATCGGCGGTCCCTCGGTTGGTATAGTTCGCTTGCGGACTACAGGCTACGGAGGTTTTTTGTATACTTCCTTATTTTGAAGAAATAAATGTAAGAACACTACGCCTGTCTGTGAACCCAGTCTATAAAATTGGAATGCCTGAACCAATCTTTATAAAAATGTGTATGTATATCATGGCACCTGAGTCTATCTCAATGGTGTAATTTGCAAATTCGTCCCGTCAGTCTGTATGCTGTATGCGTAGCCCTCTAACGTTGCTAGGCAACGGCTAGTTAAAAACGTTACCGCTGCAAAGAATACACACGCATCAATAGAAGAATTGTTATGTGTGTTTTTTTTTCTGCGCAGTCCGTTTTGTATCGAAGGAAAGTAGACTGTTAGGTCTTCCCAGAACTTCTTGTTATTATTTAAAATTCCGTCTTTTGAATTTGATTTGTTTCATTTTGGTCCGTCACATTAACAGTTACAATTATAAAAGACAAGTCCGTCCAATGTGACTATTTCAGTTTTCTCACTTGACTAGCCTTACATGTTTCGATCCATTTGGATCATCTTCAGGGGCACAAAACACTTTTTAGAAACCACCATCACAATAGTTGTCATATCAAATACACATGTAATGTCCAAGTACACAATGTTCCATCTATCACTCACAGCAGCCTTTCTGGTTATAGAAATGTTTAAAGTTGTTTTAAAGTTTTAAAACTTTGTTAAAAATTAAAATACATAAACCATACGGTTCGTGTCAATAACCCCTGTCGTCTCTCTTCAAGGTGGCCGATGTTGTGCCTCCTATGTAACTTGAGTAAGGAGATTCTTAATATTGTCCGTTATGATTTCTTGGCCAAGAAATTATAACGGACAATATTAAGAATCTCCTTACTCAAGTTACACAGGAGGCACAAGAAATCATAACGGACAATATTAAGAATATCCTTACTCAAGTTACATAGGAGGCACAACATCGGCCACCTTGAAGAGAGACGACAGGGGTTATTGACACGAACCGTATGGTTTATGTATTTTAATTTTTAACAAAGTTTTAAAACTTTAAAACAACTTTAAACATTTCTATAACCAGAAAGGCTGCTGTGAGTGATAGATGGAACATTGTGTACTTGGACATTACATGTATATTTGATATGACAACTGTTGTGATGGTGGTTTCTAAAAAGTGTTTGGTGCCTCTGAAGACGATCCAAATGGATCGAAACATGTAAGGCTAGTGAATCATCAAGTGAGAAAACTGAAATATTCACATTGGACGGACTTGTCTTTTATAATTGTTCCGTCTTTTCTTTCAACTTTCATTAAAGTGTGGTGGTTGAATGACAGCCCATTCACTGTCACGTGACATTAACTTTTTGGAGTTATTATTACGTATTAACGCTCCACACATCGTTGAAGGCTTATTGGGAATGACATTCGAAAAGTTGGAAAATTAAGCATGAACTTGTAAGTATTTACGCTAAGGGACGGAGTAAAGTCACTATAAGCCCATTTTCTTTTTCGTTAGGACGGAACGGTAAAGACAACCAAGACGTACAGACTTCAGGGTGACTCATTACAATTTATAAGGGATGAAATATGTTACACGAAGCATGGAGGTTCAATTAGAGCAGGGCTGTCCAAATTCAGACCACTGAGGCTCCACATTGGCTTAGATATTTAACAGAGGGACCAGCTGCGGGCTGTTGTGAATACGGTACTGAACTTTGGGGTTTCTGAGCGACTATTAGCTTCTCAAGAAGGATTATGGTACATGGATGCGACAGTAGACTCTTTTAACCCTTACGAGCACAAATTTCTTCCGAATGTAATTTAAAACTTCAGTTCGTACCTCACAGGAAACGCTACGTCTTCATCAAAAAGACTAGCCGGTTAAGGCCGCTTAGGGGAATAAACGCTCTTTGTTGTGTGGTTCATATAAAACACATAATTTCATCATGTTGAAAAAGAATGCAAAGTTGGTTAATACGTATTAAAGCAGGTAGATTAAACCCTCGCTAATCCGAATTAATTGGGAGAGGTCAACCGAAGTAATGAAGAAAAGGATAATCCTAAAGTAGAATAAAAACTTAGGAAACAAATAAATGGAAAATTTAATAATATAGGTAATGTTGATGAAAATAAATAAAAAAATAAACACTGCAGCAATTAATTCCTCTGTCAGAAGCTGAAATCCAGGGTCTCCATCATCCAGTTCAAACCAATCTTTGATATTTCCTCGTGTGGTTTCAGTCTCTCCAGCTGCACTCAACACAGTCTGAAAGTCCTCTTGCTCTAACCCCCCTTGCTCCTAAATGCCATGTGTCTCTTTAAAGTATGTACACAACTGCGAAGAGAATTTTTCGATCCAGCTTATCCATCATCCAGATTAACTGTAGACGGATTAGCGAGGGTTTACATAGTAGATATAGCTAATTTTGCGCTTAAAAGGTCTAAGTGCAAAAGATCTAGTTAATACAAGAACATGGTCACCATTACAATTGTTGACTGGGAAACAAAATCCCTGTGCCTCGTTTCAATCAGTTTCGACATATCTGCTCATGTCTCTCACAAGGAAGTGCTGAAACAGACACACGAACTCGCGCTCTCATACCAAACACAGAGACGGCATTGTTTACCCATCTGTTCGAAATCTAGGTTCCTCCGTCTCACAAACTATGACCTCCGTATGTGAACCAACACCGGAAATCCTAACTGATGACCTAACTAACTACACGGAGCTAGGCCGCGCCGGGTTCGATCCCGGCTCTGGTCAAGTGGGTTTTATGGTGGACAAAGTGGCGCTGGGGCCGGTTTCCTCCGAGTACTTCGGTTTCCCTGCCAATCTTCATTCCACCAAATTCTCCATCATCATAATCACCCGGAGCAGGCTACAATAGGCCAATCAGTGGCCGCCGTGCCGAGTGGACCCAGTTGGACTCCACCCCCCACTAAGGGAATAAAAAAACTACATGTAGCTGAACCCTTCTTGAGAAGCCGCCAGGTATGCAGCTACTCAAGAAATTCTCAAAATTTTATGGAACCCGAAGATTCATAACTGTGTTCACAAAAGTCCTCCACTGGTCCCTAACTTCAGCCTAATCAATCCAGTCCATATGATTCCATCATATCTCTCTAAGATCGAATTTCATATTATTTTCCCACCTACGTCTATGTCTTCCTAGTGGTCTCTTTCCCACCAATATTCTATATGCATTCCTCTTCTCCCCATTCGTGCTACATGCCCTGTCCATCTTATTCTCCTTGACTTTATCATTTTAATTATATTTGGAGAAGAGTAGAAGTTATGAAGCTCTTCATTATGCTCCTAAACATTCTGAGAACATGACGCGACAGCCTGAGGTTATGTAACCTGCTCGACAATTATTCACCCGAAGAGTGCTATCTTCTGGGATATAAAGCCGTATAGTCCGCTGAAAGTCAACCGACGTTTCGGAGGAACATACTGCCTCCGTCTTCAGGATTGAAGAATAAGCAGAGCAAGAAACCAGCGTGAAAGTGACTAGCAAATCAATCGGCTTGCCGACATTTCGGATTATATAGGAAAACCGGAGGAGCTTTCATGCTGGTTTCTTGCTTGGCTTGCTTTTAGATCCTGAAGACGGAGGCGATATGTTCCCCTGAAACGTCGGTTGTTTTTCAGCGGACTACACTGTGTTATTCCCCATAACTAAAGCTGTGTGAACCCCAAACCTTACAAATATTCTTCTTTCTTACATTTATCAATTCATCGCTTTCGACACACAGGCTTACGTCTCTGGCCTGTAAATTACCTCCTTACATCGAAGCTTAATGTTCGTTGCCGTGCTAAAATCAGCGCGCCATTGGATTCTACCGTCAACCATTTACACGTAAATCCAGTTCAACTGAAAAGATGAAGTGACAGAGGTTCGAGAAAACTACATAATGAGGAGCTTCATAAATTATATCTTCGCCAAGTATAATTACAATGATCAAGTTAAGGAAAATGAGATGGACATGGCATGTGGCAAGAATGGGGAGAAGAAGATGAATGATTTGGGCAGGAAAATCAGAAGGAAAGATACAACTATGAAGACCAAGATGTAGGTGGGAATATAATATTAAAATGAATCTTATATAGAGAGAGTGGGGTGTTATGGACTGGATTGATCTGCCTCAGGATAGGGACCAGTGGAGGGCTCTTTTCAACACCGTAATGAAAGCTCTGGTTCCATAGAATGTTGGGAGGTTCTTGAGTAGCTGCACAACTGGCGTCTTCTCAAGAAGGGCTCAGCTCCATGAAGTTAGTTTAAAGTAAGTTTTTAAATTCACTTAGTTGGGGGTTGAGTCCAGATGGGTCCACTCGGCATGGCGGCCACTGATTGGCCTATTGTAGCCTGTCCCGGGTGATTATGACGATTAGATTAAAATACATTTTTAAATTCACTTAGTGGGGGGTGGAGTCCAGCTGGGTCCACGCTGCATGGCGGCCACTGATTGGCCTATTGTAGCCTGTCCCGGGTGATTATGATGATGGAGAATTTGGTGGAATGAAGATTGGCAGGGGAAACTGAAGTACTCGGAGAAAACCCGCCCCAGCGCCACTTTGTTCACCACAAATCCCACTTGACCAGACCCGGGATCTAACCGGGGCCGCCGCGGTGGGAAGCCAGCGACTAACCGCTTGAGCTATGGCGAGGCCTCTGAAGTTAGTTAGTTTCCAAGTTTCTGTTTTTAGTTGATTATATCTATTTAGTCATTTTGATTATATTAATTTAATCCGTTAATTTGGGGCACTTGATAAACTGGTGGTATCATGTACACGGCTTGAGGTTATCACAGCGGTAACTACGAGGATTACCGTCCCTTGGGAAACGACGCAGTTCAGTCCGATAAAAGTTCACCGATATTTCTGATGAACTTAGAGCGATCGACTTTGACTCTGAAGATGGACGCAGAAGAAGATATTGCTGTTCAGTTATGTGTTCGTTTATTCGTCACTATGAATCACGAAACTCGTGTAAGTAACAAATAATTGCTCGGTTCTTACCTCACTGAGAACACTGGGTCACAATTAAGAAATGCAATCGATTATTTATGTTTAGGGAAATAATCGATATGTAATGCGTGGTTCGAGACTTGTCCAACACGCACGAGTATTCGGTATGACCTAAGCCTTTGTTAAGCGGAGAGAATAAAACACGACTGGGACTGGGTTTGGAACCGCTCAGTATTGAGTAAAGTAATTTGTAGTTATTTCCCATTTCTTAACACTCCAAAGCATAGGAGTAGCTATTTTGCCCACACGTTCGATTTATGTGTTTCGTAGATTCTCAAAATAAAAGCATTAACCAGTTCGTTTTTGTAATGAAGACAGAGTGTTTTTTAGGTAGGTACTCAAAATTTACATATTATTCAGCTTAATTTCAGACGCCAAGGAGCTAATTGCGTATCACGTCTTAGCTAATTTAGAATAATCAATAAATTAAAGTTGTCCCCGTGTTCGATTAAGCATAACTTCGTGAAGACATATGGATTAGTGAAGATACAACCCCATGAAATATTGACCTTGATATTAGATGTAGGTCAGTGGTCAGTTTCACTCCCTAGTCGCTTTGATCCCGGTACCTACCGGATGGGATATTGTGTGGGCCTTGGAGCAGGCCTGGATGCTGAGACGAAAAATATCTCTTGCCTCTGTCGGGAATCGAACCCAGATTCTTCAATTGTCCAACTCTTAGCAAAGTCGCTGTACTGAGCTACCCTGGCTCCTATTTTAAAGTAGTTTTATGAAACAGTTCACTTTACCTTCTTGTTTTCGATGCTATGGATTAAGACGGAGTCCAGTCCCAGTAGCTTCTTGCTTGCAGAGTCACTTGAATCTGCCGCCATGGTTTAAACGAACTCAGTTTGTTGTAAATATGATTGGTATTCCAACAAGAATAACTAACAAATCACATAAATATAGCTAATCCATAGCAATTTACAATTATTTAAACTTAATTTTTCGCAGAATAAATTACATCAACCTTTCAATGCTTATGTAACTTTCATAACATTTCAAGTTCTAATTTTCAGACCAATTTCTTTTTTTTTATATAATTTCAAAGATAGTATTTCTTAAAAGCGTCAATTTACTTCATATCCACTGAAACGTAACCTGATATTCATGTCGTCACACAAAATATCTAGAGACAATTCACCAAATTCCCAGGCACACGTAAAATGTCCAAACGTAATGCCCTCCTCACTAGACCGGATGGCTCTGTGGTTCACACTGCTGGGCCTTCTCAACCTTTGAGTTACGAGATCCAGTTTGTGTGCATAGGCGCGTAACGTGACAAACAGCTTCTCACGCTGGGAGCGCTAGTAATGCACCAAGCTGTAATCCAACACGACTTATTCCCGTATAAGCAGATTGCAAGTAAAGCAGATTAGATAAACGTTGGCCTTGATTAAGTAAACACATTTCCCGCAAACATGCCGGATTATATGACCTTGTAGTAAGCTTTAATAATAGTGATTTTATGTCGAATTGATGGAGTAAAAATTGTAATAACTATGTTTATGAGTTTGTACGTACTTTGTAGTTCTTTCAGTTGACACTTGTCATAATGGTATTTAGTATAAACCAGGGATGGCTAAACTTGCTGAACATGGCAGCCGAATTTGATCAGTTTTAGCATGAGATCAGCAAACAAACGTAAATGGACGGCGAAGATGGGCACTGCCACTGATGTCTAACATTCTTACCTCTTATTTAGCCCCCCCCCCAATCCAGAGAGGAGAGTATGCCTGGCTTTCTCTACTTTCTGCCGGCTTCCATGATACTACAGGTCGTTAGCTACATGATTTGACACAGCAGATTTTCAACCTAATTTCCTTATTTAAAAAAATATAAGGCGGCTTATGATATCACTTTGCTGTCTGTGTGTCTCTGTATCCCCCCTAATTTTTTTTCGTTTTCCATGCGGTCCGTGTCTTATCTGTTAAGCTGGGAGAGTGATTCTTCTCAAGTTCTCAGTTACAACTTCGCGCTTCTCATGCAGCCCTCCTAACTTAAATTCATTAAAATTAAGCCCCACTGCTGCCAATGCAACTAAACATTTTTGTTCCAAATTATACAGTTCGGCATTAATCCAGANGCTGTAAAGTTGTAAGCCTTACGCGTCTGCCGCCGTTTACCCCCAGGATGATTCCTGGTACTTATTTCTGTTAGAGGCTGAGTCGACCCCAGGGCCATAGTGCGGCTGAAAGGATTAGGTAAATTGAAAAAGATCCACCTCATCTGGACGCGAACCCGCTACCTTCCGGCTTGTAGTATAGTTCCTCAACCAATTACGCTACCACGTACCCCATTTAATGAACCAGTTAAAGAGAAATTTCAGGAAAATTTTCTCATAAATTTCATCAAGAGTGAAACGCCTCTTCGTCGTGATGTGTTAATCAATCCTGTTCTTAATGTCCTCGCTGATGAGGTACGAGCTCCTGGATGGCCCCTCAAAGTGAACGCTTATTCTAACCTCGTTAAAAATTTCGACACAAATTTCTCTTATTTGACTAATTCATCACGNCGATATTCTTTCTCTCTCCACACAATAAAGGGTCTGTTGCCTTTCCAGTGTCTTTTCATCTTCTTCCACTCTTCAACTGTACTTCCGGTCTTTCTTTCTCTCTTTTTCAGAACTTCTCTTTTTATGTTATGTCTATTTGTGAAACTGACCAATATTTTTTCCTTCGAAAGCAACATTAAAGGTTCGGAAAAGCCGCAAGCAGCTCTAAACCAAATTTTGGCCACGTCTGCTGTAAGTGGTCTTCTAAGAAGTGATAATTACTGGGCAACGTTTTAAATATTTGCTTTGGATGCGAAGCTATGTTTGTACAAACAATTTACTTACACAGTGTTATGCACAATGCCCTTGTGAAAGGTTGAATAAAGTAATAAAGATCCGAGTTATTAGCACTGACAGTACAGTGGAACATGCCCGGCACCACGGAACACAGCTACACTGTGTTTGTGTTAACAGTTTAACCACATAAACACATGGCAAAAACACGTACCACCTGCTTCAGCATTAATAAGAAAACTGCCTTTCGTCCAAGGCATGTCTGGTTGAATTTTATGGGTTTTGATGGTGAACAGCAAATATGTCACTCCCGAGATTGTAGTTTACTTTCAGGGATGATGTGTCAGATCCACGGTTCATCTCCTGTGATTATCTGCCTCCTCTTGGTGATAACGCTTCAAAAAGGACAAAGCAGAGATCATAGACTCGCTCTTGTGTTCTTTATTTAGTATCTGTGCCCCTCATATTGCACTTTTTTCAATGGAGACGCTGCGTAACAATTTAATGAACCAGTATAAAAAGGTAAAGCTAGCCTTATAACAGGTCATGAAGGCCCATAGGGTTGTGAGACGTTGAGGGTCCAACATTGTCTAGATAATCAGCTCACAGATGGCTGTAAGGTTGTAAGCCTTACGCGTCTGCCGCCGTTTACCCGCAGGATGATTCCTGGTACTTATTTCTGTTAGAGGCTGAGTCGACCCCAGGGCCATAGTGCGGCTGAAAGGATTAGGTAAATTGAAAAAGATCCACCTCATCTGGACGCGAACCCGCTACCTTCCGGCTTGTAGTATAGTTCCTCAACCAATTACGCTACCACGTACCCCATTTAATGAACCAGTTAAAGAGAAATTTCAGGAAAATTTTCTCATAAATTTCATCAAGAGTGAAACGCCTCTTCGTCGTGATGTGTTAATCAATCCTGTTCTTAATGTCCTCGCTGATGAGGTACGAGCTCCTGGATGGCCCCTCAAAGTGAACGCTTATTCTAACCTCGTTAAAAATTTCGACACAAATTTCTCTTATTTGACTAATTCATCACGCCCTCGCCATACGCTGCAACAAGTTGACTGTAAATTCCAGTCGGACTGACATTTTATACATTCAAAAGCCGAATTAGAGCTCGCATGTCACAATAGATTCTCGATTTTCTTCCTAGTTTTTAAACATAACAAAAATAGCAAAATGATAGAATCAAAGTGTCATTCAATTGACTTTTTACTAAAAGACTACTGAGGTCCGTTAAGCTTGAAATGGTGCAATTCGTTTCCCTGCGCAAGTGTTATGCGCAAAAGGTTTTTACTTTCCTGCCGACCCTTGTATTTATATGTTAAGTACAGTCCTCTCAATAAACAACGATTTTTCCCTATACAGCAATTAGGTAAAGTAAAAAATAAAGGTATCCCTGTAACAGGCCGTGGAGGCCCATAAGCTTGTGAGATGTTGAGGTTCTCACATTTTCTAGACAATAGGC